GAGAAAAAAAATTCGGTGTGTTGGGGGGGTTTTCAGCCCCCTTGCATGCGCAAACTTGGCCTGGATCGCTCATGTGACTCGGATCGAGCAAGTCCAATTATGCATATATAAATTTACGCATGCACACGCGCCATGTAATGGAGAGTGTTTCAAAATCGGCACCTCCATATAATTGGACCAGATCTCTGCATGCGATCACCGGTCTATATTGGTACAGAATACCTGGTTGGTTGATCGACGCGATCATGTTGCAGCTGCGTGCAGACGAGGGGATTCACTATAAGATCCTTTCGTTGCATGAAAGTGAAGGCATATGTGGCGTGATGCACTTGCAGTTTCTAGTGCGCAAATGATTATCACGCGCCTCTCTATCAATGTAATGTATTTCGAGTCCCATGCATAAGAGGATTCGACATCGTCATCCGCACGTTGAAGTCAGGGTTTGTCAGATGCTTATCACCATGGCCTAAATGCGGCTGTCACCGGACAAACCGACCTTGGACTCTCAAGGCGTAACCTCATCTTGCGCTATGTTCGTTTACGTGCACTATACTCCCACTCGGGAGTGTCCAGGAAGAGGCGCAAGCGAGAAGCTCCAGGCATGCACCTTAACTCTTCCCATTGAAAGTGCCGCAACCACTTCAGCTCTTCAAACCCTACCTTTGCGAGCAAGCTGCACATATATGCATATGCTCGTGCTATTTGATCTCTGTGGACAAGAAAGCTTCTGTTGCGTCCATCTTACAGTACTGATTGGAAGTTTTCTGAGCTTTTGGGCTGCTCTGTCCCGTCGCTCCCTCCAATGCTCCCGACCGTTTGAACAACCGAAGATGCATACTTTCGAGCGACGTCTGACACAATTGTCGCGAGACCTACCGGCGTAATGCTCACCTGCAATAATATAAGAAAGAAAAGTGACGCTTGGAATCTCTTCGTCGTACATAAGCGAACGAATCCCATGCAGCTACTTCGTCCGTTGGTGTTGTCTCATCAGCCGCATGTCAGAACAATCAAATGCTTGAAAAAGGTTTGGTCGTTTGAATGATTGCAAAAGCATGCGACGTGAGCACAACGACAGCCCGCGACCTCACCCATCCCTCGGCGAGCACTGTGGAGTCGATCTCTGGGCCATCAACGCCGCCGACATGTTCTCCGACCTGCACCGAACAGAATCTCCCTGTCTCCATGTGCAGAGGCAATCGCAAGCCTCAACCTTTGAAATCATTTCAACACAAGCCGCCAGGGCGTAACAATTTGTGCAAACGAACGCGCAAGCAAGTGCCGTGAGTACGTGCATAGGCTTGCCCGGTTCAAGAGATAAGCGACATAGATAGGACACAAGACTGCCAAGACCTGAATTAAAATACATCTTCCGAAAGATACCTCGGCATGGAAATATTTCTTCTCCATCGTCTTTGGCGATGCGTCCGAAGACCCAGCAGCCACGGAGACCACCTCCTCCTTGTCCCCCGGGCGGACCCCGACTCCCGGATTAGCGGCTCGCCGTGCCGCTCCCTGTGCAAACACATCCAACGCCCGATTTAAGACGGTCTTCCTCGGACTGCCGACAGGACTCAACATTCTGGAAAGTCGAAGTTTGTAAGATCTGGTTGATGAAATCGTCGATGAGACAAGCTTCTCAAGGATCTGAAGGGACTACGGTTGCCTTCTGGAACAAATCTTGCACTCTCGACGTGACAAATCGATATTATTCCAGTTGGGAGATTGTCTAGCATCGGCATGTCATACTCGGCAAAACGCAAATGATTACCCTTCAGTGTAAGCGAACAGAGCAAGAACCACGTTACTCAATGGAAGGGGATTTAAGCCAGCACCTCTGGAAGGAACAGCATGCAAACAGCACCTCAAGAGTGAGGTCGTTCGTCCCCGTTGAATGACAACAAAGGCACGAACCAGTCCGCGGGACATCCTACCCTTGAGGCCGCCGCTAGGCCGAGCTGCGCCAGCTGGGAAGCCATACCCCCTTGCTTGGCCATGTCCAGCCCGGACTTCCTGCGGTTGGGCATTGCCGCATACCGCTTCACGTAGCGCTCTGAGCCTTGCACAGTCAGCTTGTAGCCCTTTATCTGCAGGATCGGATAGTACGGCACTCAATGAGCCCAACAAAGTGGGGACGGCGGATCTGATGCTTGTTCAAGCCAGTATGGAAACCGACGGGCTGTACTCGTCTCGACCTCAAAACGTGTTGTAAGAAAGAAACATCATCACAATGAATTGTTCGCGTGTGCTTGTTGTCTTTCTGGTCTCACGAGTTTGTCCACCAGATCCCGGAATAACGTGACGGAAAATCCGCAAGTATGATCGTCACCCGGACTCAATCGTTCGGCGCCGTTCTTTCAATGAAAACAACGGAGTTACGCATCATCAAGGAAGCCGCTGTAAGTTGTCGTGTTGCTCACCTCATTGAGCGGCCTCTCTGGTACGTTGATGTTGAGCAGCGCGTCTTTTGGAAACGTGCCTGCCAGAGCATCCTGCACCCCTGCCCTGATGAGCGGTAGGCACGCTTGAGCCGCTGCTTCGAAGCGCTGTACTGGACTGCACTCAAAACCCAGCTTGATTCAGCTGCCCAAACAAGCATCCGAGAAGTTATGGGGAATCCGCTTATAGTGCGCGCACCAAAATAGGCAAAGGGAACGTCTGATGCACACAAGGCATCTTTTTGCGTCCAAGGGAGCACGCACTTCAAGCTCCCACAGGTTAGACGGCAGCTTGTTTGAAAATCAAGTGAGTAGATCGTTTGTTGGTGCCTTTGCAAGCTCACCTGTTAACTGCCCAAGCTGCACTCACTCCTTTCAGATTTCCCTCTTCCTGAGCCTGCTTTACAGCAGCCATCACCGGCCTGTAAACAGAAGAGGTGGACTTCAAAAGAGCGATAGTGCATACAAGTCGTGAAGGAGAATCATGGCTGCTATATGGAAGAGCTTCTGAGCCCCATGCAAGTCAGAGGAGTGATCAGTGGCCAATCACGAGTTGGGAGCCCTGAAGGCTCCACTCGATGGTGGTAAAATTCTGAGTTGCGAATCAGGTCTCAGAAGGAAGTTCCTAGCGTACACAGACAGGAACGTAGTCCAGCCTATACAACTGATGATGTCCTTCAAGCGGCATTATTTTTGCTATAAGCTAAGGCCTACTTTACCGATCAGCGCACCAGTCACAAAGCTCCTTACTTGTCTTCCATGGAGAGGGCCACCGAGGGCACGCCCCCCATAAGAGCTTCACGTGCACCAGCCACCGTCCCAGAATAGATTCTGCATGAGCTCATCCCTTGCAGTCAGACCATGATCAAGTACAGTTACCGCAACGTTTCTGACTCGAAAAGTCCAGTCTATCAAGTCTGTCCAGAATACAAGTTATAATGCAGGTACCAATCTGTGCCAGACTGGTTGCGCAGCATGAGCAAGTGAAAGAAGTTGCTTTGCGTTTTCCCGCCAACAGGAAAAGACCTCCGTCAGTTATTCAAGCTACATTATAATAGATGATGCCGCATATGGAAGGTAGCTCACATGTGGAGACCACAGTTGGACCCTCGATTGATACCACTCACAACCTGAACATAAGAAGGGGAGGCATCATCGTGTGGGGAGAAAACGGGGTCAAAAAGAAAGAACACAATTCAATGGGCAACCTGCTCCAGGAGACTCAAGCCCTTCTAACAATGTAATGGCATCGAAGACTGGCATGCCTCTATGTTCTACATGTGCTGAATAGCGGGGCAAGACAATCTGACTGACTTTCAGTTGAGTTCTAACCTTATCAGAAGGAGACTCTGCAATTGAAATCGGTTTGCTTACCAGAGTTGGCTTCGTCCAGGTAAATAGCGCCCCAGACAGGGCAAGGAGGATGCAGTCCGCCGGAGTGCCTATCAGAGAACAGTGTTGGGAAGCTTCTCAGGGGCCTTAGCCACTCAACTCATATCGTGCGAAGGGTAGAAGTACATTACAGGCTTCAGCCTGGAAATCAAGCAAGTTGTGCTTTTCTTTTTCATTTGCCTCTCACCAGATATCCCGTATGCTTTGGCACCCTTAATGTCTCGCTCTGTCACCTCTAATGGCTCCAACGTGATTGCATTAGAGATCGCAGACCGCTCCCTGCAGATGAGAAGTGTTGGTTTCTGATCCATCAATGCAATCTGTTTGTGTCTGAGGGCAAAGAAAGTCTTTTCAACATCCTAGAAGCTCAGTTCCAGCTCTGATTGAATCTGTGATCAGTCTTGACTCCCATGCGAACCTTGCTTTTAGTGCAGGTGAAAGGTTACTGCAATGTGTCACTTTCACTCCAATCAGGTCAACTGCAACCAGCCATCACTGTCAGCCAAGCAGCACCTTTGACTGCAAACTTGACGACCTACACACTCCTCATCAGCAAGAAGACTGACCTGTCCGGAGCCGCTACATATATCTCATATGCCCCATCAGCAACAAGGGCTTCTGTAATTGCCAGAATTCCGGGCGCCTCAATACCATCATCATTTGTGATCAACACGACAGGCTTGTTGGAGCTCTCCGCCATCCTGTCCAGAAATTGTAGAGGAGCTATCTACTCTGCGTAGGTATGTAAGTCCCTCCACTTTGGGCAATCAAAATCTGTTTCAAAGCAAGCAGCCCAACACAAGTGACAAGGGATATGAGCTGCTGAGCTCCTGAGTCGAGATCAGTCGAAGTTGCAAGCAGCAAGGCGTTGACTGGTCAGCTCCCCCGACTCGCCCGAGAACTGAATTAATAACAACTTCGAGCTACCTAGGTACTTTAAAAGCTGGCTGCATGAACCATTTCATATTCTTTCCCAGCCCTTGATGGTGTTGATCTGGTTGATTCGACGAAGTAGACGGCCGGCAGGCGTCGACTTGCACGCGGCTTTTGTTATTCGTACGATGAACAACAGACATATCGAACGCCAGCAAGTACCGTACCCAGGCTGAGCCCCTGCCAGGGGCAGACTGTTTTTTCGCACCTCTCTCGGAGCTCTCTGGCTCCACTTCTTCTCAAGCATTGCTCTGCCTCGTGCACAGTACTGCAACTCCCTCAACCGTATAATCAAATCTAGTGATGCTAAAACCTCAAACAGCAAGCCAGGGGCCATTCTTTTTGAGTCATGATAAATGCGCTCCGGCTGACTCATGCCCCGCGCGCTCTAAGCTACCGGGATGCCAGGTTGACACGTCGGCAAATTGCATAAGATCGAGATACGAATTGGTACGAATATCGATGCAACGCGTTCAAGAACGCACTCATTGATAAGATTTTCTGGGCCGGAGGCATCGCCTGCTTCTACGACTCGCACCGTTCCTGTCAAGCATTCAATCTCGCAGGCTCCGGGCCGAAGAAACATTTTTTCTTGGCAGCTGTAGGGATCTCACTACTGCTTACAATCAACAATAAACTGTTCTGCGGCTGGCAGCTTATGCATGCACCGACTTCATTAACGCATGTAAGACATTGTGGCAGCTCGTCGTCATCTGCATTAAACGTCTAGTATGTTGCCTCGATCAGCTACGATATAGGCGTAAACCTTGTAAATTGATCGGTTTCAAGCAACCGCTGACTGCGACCGCCCTTGCTGCTTCGTTTGGTGCAGCTATCACATCCGGTCGAATAAGGGAGAAGCCCGCCCGAATATTCATCCTATGTTTCCTTTGACAACCCGCTCGAGAAGTCGCCATTGAAAACCTAACCCAGTCTGAGCAGCAACCTAAACAGATCCAAGCTCTGTCACATCCAAGTCCTGTCATGAAATCATCGGCTCTTGCACGCAGGTAAGCCGCTGGAAGACATTGTTGGAAAACGAATTCTTCCGGTTATTGAAGACTGGTGCACTGACGTGTAACAGTCGGCTTTCAATCCCATTCGAACCATGTCGGACACTCTATTCCAAGCAACTGGGACAGGATATTATACTTCGATATTACAAGGATAAGATGCAGCTATACTTATTGAACTTGATTACTCCAGAATGGTGCCCAAAGTTCAAAATATGGCACTTCTTGTCACGTCCCTTCAGCAAATGCTGCTGCACCCGAACGGTCACAACCGACATGGCAGCAACTAGTCCTTCGCGTCTTGAACTCCGCCTGCACTAATCTGGAAAGTGCATTCGGACTCTGGAAGACTTGGCGAGTCGTAGATCTTGCAGATCCGCTGATCGCCTTTTCCTTTTCTCATCATGAGCCGAGTCGTGGATGCATGAGCCATCACGTGACCTCCGGCTGGCTTCTTCGGATCAGCAACGAATGTCGCACCACCGCCTGGATCGGCAATCACTGGACGTACAAAGACAAGGTGAGCGAAACCTGACATAAAGCCTACCGACCATGTTAACCAAAGCCTCGAAAATAATCAGGTATGAAGGCGTTTAGAGCGATCCATGCGATCAGAGTCTCGCCTCGAGATCAATATGAATAATCCCATCGACGGTCCAGTTAGTCGATGCAAGACATGTGTGCAAAAAGCCAGTGTAGGAATTGCTTACCTTGATTTGTGAGATATACGGCCACGTTGAATTCTGCACACGTGGGAATGGGATTTATAAGCGTGCGCCTGCTGCGAAAGGACCAAGCATGTATCAAAGCTATCAGGATTGGCAAGTGGAAGTAGAAGCGATTGATGAGCTTTTCTAAAGTTGGAAGCAAATTCCTACCTTCAGCGATCTTTGTCAGCCTCGAAAGCATCTGTCCGAGCTTTTGCTGCAGAAGCAATTTGAAAGTCTCTGTAAGCTTGCTTCAAGAGATAGAGGGAAGGGCATGTGAGAAGGATCAAGCAGATCGTTTGCACTCTCGAGCATCGATGCAACTTGCGTACAAAGACTGCGCTCAGCTGCTTGATAGATCGAGGAAGCAGAATTGCAAGGTTTAGTACCTGCCGCTCAGCCAGCTCGCCTCTCCCAGTAAAGTCGACCCGGAACAAGGCTGTGATACTGTCGATAATCAGAAGCCTGAATGGTTCCTCAGCCATCTTGGCAGCAAGTCCAAGGAGAAGACCGAACTGGTGCTCGTGTGTGTACGCGCGCGCGTAAACGATCTGAAGAGGACAGAGGAACTCATCATATTGAGCTTCAGAAACTTCAGCCGATGGAAACGATAGCAAAGCTCAAAGACTTGCGCTTTGGTTGTAATCGTAACGTCCAGTCGAGCGATTACGAGACTGACTTTAACAAGCGGACTCTGAACGGGACTTGTACTTACATTCTCAAGGACGCTGTTTGGATCCATGCCAAACCTTTCGGCAATGGGAATGATCCTTTCAGGTCGGAAGGTACCTTCAGTATCTCTGCAAGCGATATCCCAAACGTTGGTTGGTGTCCGATACATGAAGCAAGCCGTAGTGGCTCTTTTGAGTTCCTTAAACTCTTCGGTGCATTGTTCCAGAACATTACAATCTATCTCAACTTGGCTTTCTCCAAGCGAAGAAACTGACTTCCATTCAAAGAAGAACGGCACAGGCAACTGAGGACCTTGCAAGACTTCTCACATGTACGCCACCTTGCCGTGTCCTGCAAAAGTGAACAGTTTGGAAGCGTGAGACATGTTTCAAAGGAGAACTCATGTTACAATTCATTCGGTTCTCGAGCGTAGTTGTTGTAGTTGTAGTTGTTTTAGGAGACCTGACTCGAAACGAGCATCTGCAAGCTGGCACGATGAAGATTCAACACGAACATCCTGTCCTTAAGAAGATTGGTCCTTACCTCCGTTCATAGATCGAGGCAATTGAGTGGTGACGCACAGTGTATGCGCGATCTGTGTTTTCCCGGTCCTGGAAATGACACGTGAAGCAAAATCTTTTAAGCTTGTTTTAACAAAGACAGAGAGTGCCGAGTTCTATGCAAAAATTGCAGTTTCTGATGCGCGTTCGGATGAAGTTCAATGTCGTGGGCTTTTTGGTCAGACTAGCTCACCCTTTCAAGATGAACATGATGGACGAGATGGACTTGTTAAAGTTAGAACAAGCGTTCGTAGTTTTGTTATTGTTAGGTCCTCTGCAATCAAGAAAGCTGAGGCGAACGGCTTACCTGAACTCTCCAAAAGCTTCTGTAATGCTTGCTGTTTCCATGCCGCCCCCCAGGAGTTCATCTAGAGTAGCACTACCGGTTGTAATTCTGATGACTTGCTTTCTCTGCGTCGGATAAGTGTAGTCATCAATATGGTGAACGCCGCTCTGAGGTACCAGGAAGGGCTTACTAGATCTTCAAATTCTTAAAGTTTTAGACACCAAAAGTGATGGATTTAGAAAGCCCTCACTAGCTCCTCGAATCCTGACTCAGTCACCAATCATTCGGAAGAAGCTTCGAGTGAATGGTCTTACCTTGTTTAGTGCTTCGCTGCCGGTAACGAACCCACCATTCTGCAGTGAAGATTTGACCAAGCTTGTCTCTCTACCTTGAATATCTCAATGTTTTTTTGCCGAACTTGCAAGACTTATCAAGTCGCACCTTTACGTAAAGTTCACATTGCCTGACCTTTTGAGACTGCATTCCAGAGCTGAAACTGTGGTAACCTGCTCCGCTCAAATCCTGGTTGTTAGCTTATCAATTTCTTCCTTCACATTTTTCGGAGCACAAGTGCAGAGTCGAATCTTGCTCACAATGATTTTATCCACAGCCTCCAGTATTTTGTCGACCTTCGCTTCAGAGAGCCCCTTGATATTGCAGAGCGTCTGCAGGCAGAAAATTTCCGTTTTTCTGAAACCTCAAGTAGTCAATTTGATCAAAAGCAGCTCGGCCTTCCACGCAACTTTATAGTCTTCTGAGAGCAACTGATGTGCAACTTGAGTTGAGACATTCATTGAAGTCAGCAAATCGATCTTCAACGTCAAGATGCCTTTGCGGCAACGAAACCATTTCACCTTTTTCGTCTGCATGCGGACTCCGTTGCAGCTAACTATGCCCGATTCGACCAGTTTCTTTATGTCGCCTGTAAGATCGTGGTATGCTTGAAACGGTAAGAGATCGTCATGCAAGAACAAGGCTACAAAAACCAGCTTCAGACTCCAAAAGTGTACTTGCAAACGAATCATCAAGTGGACGAGCTTGATATTCAAGGCTCTGTATACCACGATTTTCAGGACTGGAGGGTCGTGAATATTGCCGCTTGAGGCGTTGGGAAAGGAAGAACTGACAGCTTACCAGCATTGATGCCATGAGCCTGTACTGCAGGACACAAAAGAAAAACAATCCTGAAGATCTTTCCAGATGAAAACTTCGGATTCTGATCTTGATTCCTTTCACAAACAAACAATATTTGCAAATCCACCACTCAAAAGCTGCCTTATGTCCGTCATGATATCTGACCAAATGCTGCAGACTTCACGGATGCAGACAAGGGTGCCCTCTGCACGGCATTCGCATCATCACGATGAACTTTTGAAGCTCACGTCTGTCGACTGGCTCGTAGGTTTCTTCTTCTTCCTCCTCCTCAGCAGCCTGCTCATCACCTTCGGACCTGAACGATGGAAGATTGTAGTGAATTTGCATAGCAAAATAGATTAAGAAGTTTCATTTGAGTGATTCATTCCCTGATGCAGGACTGACTCTGGCCCCAATCCCTTCGCATCCAACGAGCACATGCGCTGCTTGGCTTCGTATCTCAAAGGCATGTACTTACACTTCTCGAATGGCTTCTTCAGTCGCCATCTTCGGTGCTGATGGAGAAGGTGCAGAAGTTCTTTGCAAGCCAGACTTTTTCCTCCCGGCCTTTCAAGCTTGCAGACCGACCGAACTGTCACTCCTTGTTCGATTAGTAAGAGCAGTCTTTTGGCAAGAGAACCTAAAGTTCTTGGTGACCGACTGCAGCTTGAAATTCCCGTTCAGGAAAGCACAAGTCGATTCATTGCATCCGCGACGTTTGGCAGATCATCAATTCACTGACAAATAAGACAAGTGCACGGTGCGAAGAGCGCTGGAGCCTACCTGTAGTGGTCTCTATTTTCTGTTCAATATCGGCCATGTTTACTTCAGGTCTTGCCCGGGAGACGAATGGGGTTGGTTGGGGGGTTTAGGGTGGGTACGGATCCGAAGCATGTTAACTTTGGGTTAGGATTTGTTTTGTTTGTGCCCGGGTGATTTTACAGATTAAATAGGCCTAAACATAAACCTCAACATAAAGCGAGACTTCTCTGAAACATTCTCTGACTAACCAAAATCAACGGCTCAAATTTCCAGGTATATTGATCAATATACCCTATGAGACTACCCTGTACTGCGGCATGACAGGTTCAGTTGACCCGATGAACAGAAACTTGCCTAGTCAACCTAGTGGACTTCAATCAGCTATCTAAAAGTCCTGACCAACCTTCAGTTAAATCAGCTAACCAGTCTGACGGATTTTTCTTCGTTCGCGTCGACTCTTCCATGATGTCAACATTCAAATCAACATGCGCGCACATGATCCTTGGATCCTTCCCCTTACAGCTGGCATTAAGGGAGCCCAGTGAGAATTTTCAAGCATTATTTACTTCGTCTCTTCCAGCACAACACTGATGAACACGAGGCGGGAGGCTGCTCGAATCCAATGAAGCACATGCAGATCAGAAGAGCTGCCGCTATGATGGAAACGTCTTCTGAGCTATACGAATCTTGAATGTCTCGAATCTCGTAATGGATATGCTAAGTCGTAGGTACCTCGAGACGGGAAAAGCGAAAAATAAAGCTTCCAATGCAGGGTCGGGGCCTTAGTAACTCGAGAGATTCAAAGGAGCTCATGATACTCCGTGCACCGGTCCGCATGTAGGGTGGCTTCTGGTTGTTGCCAGACTTTGATTGCGGCAGAAGCTTCAAAACGGTCTGCCGATACATCTAGAATGGCATGCCGCGCGAGCACTTCGACCTGAGCAAAAGCTGGAAAGATGCCTTGAGCGGCAAGTAAGATCACTGCTGGGTCCAGGATACACTAGATATATATTTGTGGCAAAGCAGTTTTAGTTATTGGCTATCTTCCGAAGAGGCCACCTCACTTTGTGCATCAACCAAGTCGCACCATGTCGATGTACAGGCCCAATCAGCTGTCATACATGCATGAGCCGATTCATCCAATGTCGACAGGCACGGCTCGAGGAAGCTTTGATTGGTTCTTCGATCTTATGACATTACATTATGAAGTTGAAGAGCATTCCCTCGCAGCTCTCTGAAATCAGCAACGTCTTGATAGCAAACGGATGACCACACCAGTGAGCTTGCAAATAACCATTCTCCATAAAGCCTTCGCAGTACCTGTGTGACCCTCAGCTATCAGTGAACGGTCGAGGTGCGCAAATCAGAAGTGTTGTCATCACACCACCCTCCTCAGCTCCGTTACTTTCGCGAGACTTCCCCAGAAGGCTTCGTGAAGGGGCTCTCCCCAGATCTCGAGCAAGTTCTGATAACAAATGCTTGGAATAAGATTACATTGATCTTCGTCGATCGATTCTGCTCTTCCATCATTCCAGCAATTCCATCCCGTTCTAGCTGTTTTCCGGCGCCCACGCAATTGCAAGGCAAGTTTTCTTGTGGAGCTGGAACGAAAGCTGAGCCAAAGCTCTTGATCCCAAACATGCTGGACAATACGGAAGGCATGACGAGATCTCGACGGCCATGCCTTCTGGTGTTACTGTATTTGGTGGCGCTGCTGGGAGCTGGCAAGGAGGCAGCGGCATCTGGTAAAATTTTGTTTCTCAGGCTGATGCCATCTTTACGACGTGCATGTCTGAAATCATCCAGCATACTACTCATTGTAGGGAAGATTTTGAGAAAGTTTTGAGAAGTTTAACATGGAGCTATTCGGCCAATCCTGCCGCCACGTAAAGGGGGGGTCGATGAGCTCCTCTTTGCAATGAGTATTGGCCCGAAGCTTGAGGGATCCTTGAGTCCTGTGAGTCTCTCTCAAGTATCCCTCTTTCATGAGGCGTGTCCGTTTCCGTACAGCTGCCTCTCGGAGGCTGCAGCAGGCTGCGGCGGGTGCGGCCTGCCAGAGCCACAACGTGGTACCCATCAAGCGGGGTGCCACATCAAACAGCCTGGACCTGCTGGAGCGCAAGAAGAGGGCGAGCCAAGGCGGGGACTTATTTGACGTACAGGTGGGTCCGAATGCAGCGCATTCAGCCAGACTTGCATCTCCTCCCCGCTGTGCCAGAAACGCTTTCACAAGCTTCGAACGATCGTCAATCCATCTGGCTCTTTCAGGTTGATTACTACCTTCTTGGGCCAAGGTTGATTCTATCCAGCAGCCTTCCAAGACAGGACCGCTCCGCTAAGGATATACGACAGTCTAGACATAATCAACGGATGCATTTCTCTGGAAAACGCATGCATATTCTGCAATGTTTCAAGCTGCAAACCCTCACTCAGCTGGGCTCTCCTCCCATGATTCGTAAGAAGCGTGACATGTCCTTCCAGCAAAAGCACCATGTTGCCATCATTCTCATCCGATGAGCTCACCGCTTCGTTCCTACAGGCGGTCCTCGCCGAGCTGACGTGTCCGGACGCTCTCCAAGCGTTCAATCGGCTCGAAAATGAACTGCCCACGTATGGCCAGGGGATCCTTGCCGAGTACAACGCCTCTACCCCGGACCTCTGCTTCGACTACCCGACCTGCACCGGCGTAATCAAGGTATATGATGGGCCTCATCAAAAACACCCTGTCATTTGAGTCTGGTGTTGATTGCTTTTGAGTCCGCCGACCCAGGGGCATCGCTTTTAAAAATGTTCTGCGCTCATTCTATCATCACAGACTTACAAAAGCCCTGTAGATACTTCGAAAGCTGCGGTTACGAAAATGACCCGAAGCCGTAGACATCTATGCCGCCAGCCGAGGAGCAATGCATTGGTCTTAATTTGCCACTGTAGACTTGACAGGAACTTCTGCTCCTGTTTGCAGACTAAGGCGGTCGACTGGCAAGCCCCTCAGGGCAGCGACATGTCCTCGTCCTGGGCAGTTCTCGAAGTACAAGACGCTCCAGTGTCGCAGTTCTCGATCCCGATCCCAGCCGCCGACACGCTCACCCCTCTCATCCCAGGCCTCACCCCGAACACCGCCGTCCAGTATCAGTAAGATTGTCGACCAACTGTTACATCACTATTGCGACTGCAGAGCTGGAAGCGGAAGAGAAAGCTCCCAGCACTCGTGTCTTCGTACGCGTTGCGTGCGCACTTTTGAATCTTGTGAGCTCATCCCCTTTCAAGTCCTGTCAGATAATTTGTTCAACAAATTCAAGTTCTGCCGGCGTGATGGTTGGGGAACTTTCATTGTGTTCCCCCACGGGTGTCATCCGATTCCCTTTCCCTCGACCGCGTCTATCTTCCTCTTCCAATGGTGCATGAGTGCGATGATCACAGAAATGTCAGATGAAAGCCCATCAGATCCCATCATCTCCCGCTGAGCCCCACTCAAGACCATTCCGCACAGGAGTCCTGCGCGCTTCGAAGCCACGGCGGCGTGACATAAGTCGCTCCTTTCTAAGTGGGCTCCGTTCGCCAATGCTCATACACAAAGCACATCCTTCAAATATCTGCTGGTTTCAATTTGGTGCCAGCCTACGTTGCAGGAAGCTCGGCAACCCGGTCGTTCGCGTGAAACCGGCGGGTGCCGCCCAGGCGAATGACCCCGGGTGCTACATGTACGTGGAGTACCCCCCCTCCGCGGTGGCGGACGCCCGCACCGCGATAGGGACGCTGAACGCCAGCCTGAAGCTGCCGCCCTTCGGATCCCTGGCCACTCCGCCCGGCAGGCGGCTCCTCCAAGTCGACGGGCAGGCGACCGCGAACTGCGTCGGGTCAACCGTCGCGCTCGCGGGCGCGACCGTCGGTGAGGGGTTTAGCTTGAAGAAGTCCAATCAAGAGGATTGTGGGCGCACCGGTATTACGAAAATCAGGGGGTGCTGTATGCGTCGAAACGTCCAGCTCAGTGGTTGGCACGACTGATTCCACAACTTGGGCATGTCAATCATGAACAGGAGTCATGACTCTTCAGACACCCGCCGTCCCCAACGAAGCCAGTCCGATCACCGAAAAACCTCTCAAAACACCCTCCACCAGACCTTGCTTTCAGCCGGCGGCGCCGCTTGCGTCGTGACCTTCGGCGGGGCCTGCGCCGGTGCGGTGCTCGTCGGCGTCGGCGCGGGCATCATGGCGGGGGCCAACTGCCAAGCCGCGGTCGAGAAGAACAATGCGGGCTGTTTCCCCGCGGCCGCGACCGTGGAAATGCAGGGAGGTGCGCGCAAGAGGTAGGGGAGCCGTCGTCCTTCGATGCTATCGTTGTTCGGCCGCAGTATGGATTCTGTGTTCAAAGCAACCATGTTTTGAGCACTCGACGTTTCAAAGACTGGCTGCAGAGTGTCATCCACTCGGCCGGCCGCCAGATTGTTGCAACCGAATGTAACGGTTCGAGAGTACGGGTTCGCGGGTGAATGTCGAAACTTCTGTCCCGGGAGTCTAGACCGTTGTGGATTGTCTATGGTGACATTTGAAAGTTTCGATCGTCTCATCCAAAAGTTGAGATGTATTTGCGGTTGCCCCAAATATCGTCCGCTTTGCCACTTATTGTCTTTGACACACATTGTTGAGATTCTGCAGACGGAGAAGTCAAAATGCAAGGAGCGCACGCACGCATGAGAAGCATTGCGGAAACCCGGTCTGGTATCCTTGATGACAGAATCTGGCTCAAAGTACTGCCCAAGTCTTGGAAAAGATGAAGCCTGAAAAGCTTGCTGAGCAGGGTGACAATTATCTGCTGGATCAACGCGATCAGAGGAAACAGACACTTTTGGACGGCCGCTGAAGAAGAAACTGTAGAAATCGTGGGACGAGCTGGCGTAATCGCGATGATTCGACTAGGGAAGTTCATTGCCGTCTTGAATAGAAATTTTTCACTCGTTTCCTTCGCGACAGGATGGACGCATTACAACTCGGCGACAAGATTCGGAGCGTGGATCCTCTGACGGGCGCGGCGCGCTTCGAGGAAGTCTACCTGTTCGGCCATCAGGACAGCGCCACGTCAGCAGACTACGTACACTTGGACATCCAATGCCCAGGCGCACCGGGTGGGGTTCCCGGCGACAACCTCACCCTCAAACTCACTCCCGGACACTTCCTTCCGGTCGCCCCGGAAGGCCGTGGCAAGTGGGGGGAGCACCGCCTGGTGCCCGCCATGCGCGCGCGCGCGGGCGCGCGCGTGTGGGCCGCTGCCCCCGGTGGCGTCGCTCTGTGCCACGTGGCAGCAGCGGTGATGTCGCCCAGCACCGGTCTGTTCAACCCGTACACTCGGAACGGGCTGCTGGTGGTGGACGGTGTGGTGACGTCAGCGCACAGCGACTGGTTCCTGGAACGGTTCGTACCGGCCAAGTACGAGCACCTGATCCCAGCGGCGTACCAGGCAATACTGGCCCCGGTGAGGGGGCTGTACGGAATGATGGGGCCTGCGAGGGCGCGCCACGTGCAGGAGGAGTGGGGGCTGGTGGAGCTCTTCGCTCGCGGCAACGTCGAGCCGTTCAAAGGATGGGTGACGTCAGTGTAAGAAAGGGATGGGTTCCCCACCGTGTACAGGATATGCATCGGTCCGGGAAATGTAAGATGCATCAGAGGGTGGGAATCAGTGAGAAACCAGTCAGATAAAGGAAAAGGCATCAAAAAGTACAATCGAGACGGGAGACCTCTGTAGCTAGAAAGCCTTTGGCTGTCGATGTGCTTTTGTCGTTCGGGATCTGAGATGTGTCGCAGCGGCAGGGTTCTGAAACGTTTGACTCTGATTCAATGAAACTTGCGTGTCAACAAGCTAGCACGCACCTTAGTAAGCTGATTTGTTAGCGGCATCAAGGTCTTCGCGCACTCCGTCCTGCAATGATGATTGTCTTCATCAGGCTTGTTAAACGATAGCAACCATACGGCGCTCAAGCCCCATAATATTGTGGAGTACCTATGCATGATCAAGCTCAGCTTCTTGACCCGGCTCCTGCATTTTCATTGTTAGCAAGTGCGCTTGGATAATGACTCGCTTGTTTTTGGCGACTCTCGTTTTGTATTTCGCCAAGCTAGTATATACAGGGTCTATCTACGTGGCATGAGGAAGATGCAGGATCGAGTTGCATGGATAGAAAGTTGTTGAGGCCAGCCCATAGCCTCAGGACCGCACAGACCGTATATCTGCAACAGCAGCGCTGGTGCAGCACCATGTCGCGCGGGCGATGCCGGGTCTACGGAGCGCCCGCGCCGGCACTGCGCTTGTTGTGCACGCGATCGATTTTGCCTGGCACCCAGTACGTACAACGGACTCACCCATGTGGTACTGGTAGCTTGCGCGCGCCGGCCAGAAATGATTGTTGCATGGCGGCTCATGCTGCTTTTCCAATCAGTGCACACGAGTATTAGACCAGTGCACGGCACCGTTCGGCACGTCACAAGCAAGCCTACACGCTTCTCTTTCTGCACGGACTAGTTGACCAATTCAGCAATTCCCGTCGCATGCTCGCATATGCACAATCTCTAGATTGACTTAGCCTTGATTTTGCTGATCTAGGCGCATGCGCGAGAATTAGTGCAACATTTACCTTTGTTTTATAACGACCGCATTGCCATAAGAGAGTCATCCTATGGATCGAAATAGCGACCCTTTCCCACCTTGTCCCAAATCTCTATCTCTACGAACTTTCTATAAGCGCTTCTCCAGCTCCATGTGAAAAGCGCACAATCTAGCTAGCAATTGACAACTGCCATATAGTCTCCTCGGCATTATCTAACTGAAGGACATGATCTATGGCTATTCATTTCACGATCTACTCCAAAGTATCAACACTTAGCAGCACGGAGCGAGCAACTAGCAGAATCAGCTAGGTGCTATGAATGGAACTTCTCTAAACCACGGCGAAGCTTTGCTAGGGTCACACCCGAGCCCATGCCGTAATCGCCATATGTTGCCAAGGCGCCTGGAAACTCGGCTCCCGCAGTATAGCTGCACGGAGGGGAAAAATAACCATCCTGAGGTACAGCTCTAAGCCCGATGTGAGCGTAGGAGAAACGATCGTGATTCAGCATGTTGCACGCTTCTGCACGGCATGATATTCAATAAGTTGTCCGACACTGTTCGAATTTCTTGACACCCGAAGTGTGGATCATCTACCCCACCTGCTTTTCACCACGACGCACGGCATGCTAATCCGAGCTGCTGCCTGGACGCCCACATGACTCCCAGCTAGCAGTACGCACCGGCCTGCGGACGGCAAGATTATGCAGGGTTTATTTTTGTCGTCCAGTCTCTTACAATTTGTTCGAGCAGTCAAACATTTGAGTTGTTCCGATACATCCATATCGGGTGCTAGGAGTGGATTCAGATAAGAAGAAACATATAGACTGCACAAGATAGAGGAGCAAGCATGCTGACGGGACTGGCGTATTCGATAATGGATATTGCTCACAAACACCGCGCGACCAATTGCTTACCCACAGGCGTTCCAGCTAATTCCGCCGCCGCTCGAAGTGCTAACAAAGCTTCTTCTGACCTGCATCAATAGAAGTGCGGGTTGTCAGAATGCAGATGAGCTTGCAAGCGCAAGCCCGAGGCTTCTTTCCGGATCACGAAGGATGGTGCAGTCATACGGTCTCAATAATTTTGAGCAGGCTTTGAGACGCCTGGGCGCTTCAGGACTAGATCGGAGTTAAATTCTCCATAAGACTAAGGAATCCGATGGAGGTGGCCCAGTACGAAAATTCTTTCACGACATGCTTGATATTGAGGCCTGCACAGGTGTGTCCGCCTGTCGTTTCGTTGTCTCTCCTCCAAATAAGCGGAAGCTTGAGAACAAATTGATAAGAGCAACTGAGGTCCCTTGCGACTCACTTCCCGCCTGTATCTAGGTCCACCGTCAGCTTCAGCTTCTCGGCGACCATCTCCGCTAAGCGCTGCTTTTCGGCATTCACTGCAGAAAGGGAGAGCCAGAACGTTGGTTTCTACATCCGCCCCAACATACGATTCCTATCGCGCCAGGCTTCGGCTTTGAAGGATTGAATTGCACAATGACCAAATGAATAACGCCGTAGGTCTTCACTTTCGGCGCCTGGCTTCTGAAACCAAGAGAGGCGGCCCTGCAGAACGACTGCGCGTGCCAGTGGTTAAGAGGCAGAACTCTCCCGACCTGCTTCCGCGAGCTGGCGCGCCAGCATGTTATCGATGCCGGCCAGTGCCCCCTCCCCGGCAGCGACCTGAGCATACGTGCTCGCGCGCACGTCCTCGTCCGACAGGACTCGCACTGCGTCGCCTAGCCCCTCCACGAGCTTCCTGCACAGACACCTCTCAGCAATTCGTCCAAGCTCAACGCAAAGAGCGCGTCTCTCGGGCCCCTTAACCTCGCGCCCAATATGTTATTTTCGACGGTGTGTTCGATAGGTTTGACAAAGACATATCGTCAACATATGTGAAGTTCGCACCTGACGAAGTGCAGATTGGCCGTGCAACATCTTGGGTGCGACTTGAAGGTGCCCGAGCGTAGTGTTAAGGGAGACGCCCTGCCTCGGAATGTTCGTAACCCCGACTTTTGGGGGGCGCAGTGGCAAATATTTGCATGATTCTACTTATTGAATCAGATTCTCATGGAGCGCGTGCAGGTATAGAAGCGCACCGTGTAGCGTCGTAGCCAATCCGACTTGACACACCAAGGATGACTAGCGCGACCCCTTCCGACGCCGCCTCCTGGACGAACCTGCAAAGACAAGTCCTTTAGATTGCTGCCTTGCTTCGAAATCTACGTCCTGACAGATCTCCCGGATGTGAGTGCCGCAACCAAGGCTTGAATGCCACGAAGGTTAGCTTGCAGAGGACCGAAGGTGCCTGCGAAGTCGTCATATTGGCGATGACAGAGCAAGTCATCAAGAAACTCGGTGTCATGCAGAGTGCAGAAAGAAAAATGGACAAGAAAAAACAGATCATCAGTTACCGACCTCTAGGACCAGGGTGGCGTTCTGCTTACTCTGCAACACCTGGTCGTAATGGTAGCCGGCCAGCCTCGATGAAGCTTTCTAAGTGCTTTTTCTGCATAGTCCAAAACGGAGTCAGCATATAACACGAGATGAAGTCAGAGCTCCGCAGGAAGAGCTGGTGATCGACTAGCCAGACAGATCAACTTGAGCCCCTTAATCGTCTCTCAAAGGTTACATAACAGACCAATCAGTTGAGCTTATGTGACGACCTCCTCTTTTCCAAAGCAAGACCGTCAAAAAGTATGAAAAGCAGAGCAGAACACTTTGCATAGTACCCGGGTCTACCTCGAAGACAATGAATCAGGCTCTGCCATCAGAGCTGTGAGTCTACAACTGCCCATCAAATTTCATAAAAATGCGGCTAATCGCATTTGAGGCACGTTTGAGTCAAGCAAGCATTTGCTTAGTGATTCAGTCTGAGGTAGAAAAAAGCACATGCGACTGCAGGGATGTCGAGGAGGACGTACCTTGATCTCCAGACATTTCCGGGTGAACGTCTTTCTTTCACTTGTGGGCACTGCAAGTGGCCACCCAATCTGTAGGAAAGCAACAAGGGAACTTTCATTTAGAGTGCCCTCCTTCGGCTAACCCTTCTCTGGGCTCCTCCATACTCTTTCACAAGACTGGGTTGAATCGCTTTGGATTGAACAATCAAGTCCTCACTTGGTGGAAGGACTAGAAGCACTTTGCGATCAGGAAAATGGATTACAACTCACCCTATCAAAGAAGACCTGAAGCATGCGCTCCTCGTCCCCTCCAACGCTTCTGCAATTGGACCAAGAATGCATCGCCTCAAAGGAAAGCAGCCACATGCGCCTTACTCGATCGTATGTGTGAAAGACGAGCACCAAGGAGTTCCTTCCATTTAGAAAGAAACAAAGGTCCTCATGAGATTGTCATATCATGAGGCTAAGGGCAATCTAGTGTCGCTTGCTTCTGAGTCGTGCACTCACCGGTAGAGATCCTTATAGACGGGCTCCGTCCAGTTCGCGCAGTCTAGGTCGAGATCCTTGAAAGCTGCAGTATCACAATGCTGTTAGCATGCCGCACAAGCCTTCAAAGGCAACTTCGGAGATCGATCCGGGAACTGCGGGCATATGAATACGGTACCATAGATCTTGAAAGACAGCTCTCTCATCAGGCTTACATAGGTTGTATGCTTCTCGATTGGCCCGCCTGTGGATGTCTGTCAGAACCCTGCCGATGGAAACAAATAAGGGCCATTGTCAGCATTGTCCTGCTGACTATGCCAATGTTCGAGAGCCCGTCACTTGGGAAGTCCGGCTATCACTTCATCAGCTTTCAGGATGCATTCTACTGATACAGATTCAGCACACCGTTGACAATGGAAGTGGGCACCAGCATGACAGCATTGCATATGCCACTGAAAATCAACGTACCCTTCAATTTCAAAAACCACTGCCATATTGCGCTGCCTCTCTTTTGCTTTGCGCAAGCTGTCCATCAACTCCTTCGAATCTACACCGTCTGTTCCTTCCCTTTGGTCATCTGCTTGGCAGCAAGTGGTAAACCTCCTCTTTCTTACAACACGGCAAAAGAGGTGTCTCCCGAAGGCTTGTCCAAAGCTTTCAGCATTGGTCACAAAGCCTCCTGATCTGGGTTTCCGAAATTCTGAACGAGCTGCAGCGAGCTTTTTTAAGCGCATAGAGCTGCTGCAAGCTGGTGCCCATACTGCAGGCCGAACAGGCGGCTGCCATTCTGAGACTTGCCCTTTTGTTATTTTCAAATTCCTGATTGTAGGACGCAAGTGGCAGGTGTCCATCTTTCGCGTCTAGGAAGCTGAGGAAGAAGGGAATTGACAGAAAGGCAATAGTGGAGGCCAGAAGGCTGGCCTGTCCTTGAAGTTGAACGTGAAACCCTCGGGCTCTAGCTGGAACTTGCCTTCGCTATTCACTGCTTCAGGCTTCAAGTTCACTGTCACAAAACTGGAACTTGGAAAGTGGCCAATGTGCGAGAAAGCAAGCTGAACATGAAGCAAGCTGAAAATGCCGACGTTGGGGGGGGTGTGGTCCATCCTTGAACAAGTTGCAAAGCTCGAAAGCTCGATCTGAGTACGGTAGTTTAGTGGCCGGTTTAAGAGACGGCACTTTTAGAACCCGAAGTTGTCTATCTCAATGCCGTTCCTGTGGCCGTCCACAAGAGCGGCAGAAGAAGTGAAACTCGGTCGATAACTCAGGATGACCCCCCCTAGGGCCAGGGCCGTGCAGTAGAACAAGCAAACGCCAAGTAATACTAGCTCGCAAGCCGTCGGCACCAGGTCCGCAGACCTGATGCAGGCTTTGGAAGGGGCGTCAGCTTTTGTTTGGTGGCTTGCTGCACTCGGCATCTGGCCCACTTTGAAATCATACAATGGTGGGGCAGAGCCTCTCGATTGTGCGTCTTCATACCCCGATTGACTTGCAGCATTTGCAAAGGTCTCCTGAAAAGGAACTACATGGACTCAGTGGAATGCGGCCAGGTGTTGCAGCTCTACTGCAGGACTGCTGCAAGCAGAGCTTGCTGGTGCTTGGAGCTACGAGGCCAAACCATGCAAGGGGGCGCTTGTCAAGTGCCAGGCGGTTTGTAGAACAAAGGGACGTCAATATTGCAGGCCATAGGGGCAGACTCATTGCTAATGCAGCGCTTAGGGAAGACAGTGGGGTTGCAATGAGAATTGGTGAGGATAAGTCAGCAGAATCTTCACAGAAGGGCTTCCATCAACAAAGATTCAAGGCTACCGAGCGACCGCAGCAACTGCAACAAGCAGAACTGGAGATACAGATACGGTGAGACTAGGTCAAACATTTGACTAGCACTTGCTTGAGCTTGATACAACTGTTTTCTGAGCTCCCTCCTGTCTTTGGGCTGGCGCAAAATGCAGGGGGAAGGAACGCAGAACAAGGTGAAGTTCCACTGATAAATGTCCTTCAGAAGCGCAGGACACGTAATTGGTCCCGACTTCTGACAGCCCTTCGTGTCGTTCTACAGAGAGCCAGTGAGTGATGCAGAGCTACGCGCAGTTGCCTTGCTTCGAGCCCTCTCCTTCTATGCATATCGGCCAGAGAGGGCCTTCGCGGGCAAGGTGAGAGCACACTGATTGTCCATGTTCGAGGGTTTAGCTCTTGCGGAATGGTGAAACTAAGGTGCTTTGCTGCAAGACAGCCACCTTGTGTCGTCCTCCTTGTCTTTGCCCTCGCAGTTAATCTAGCTTGACATGATTATTGTTCATATGTAAGACATGCCTTCCTGGTCTGAAGCAATCAGTTGGTTGCTTCTTTCCTGCTATTCTGCATCAACCAGATGGTGACAAGTCAGCGCTTGTGTCTTTCAGCTCCATCAGAAGATGAAGGCTAGTGAGGAATATGAGCGCCTCCTGGAGTTGAGGGAGAATGGGAGCAAGCCGGAGCAGCAAGAGGCGTGCCTGGTGAGAAGCGTGCAGTCGCTGGCGGTATGAAAGCTGGAAGAGTTGTCTTATTTTTGGAGGCCCACATTGGCGTGCTGATTCCGAAGGAGAGTACACCGTTCTGCATTGTAAAAAGCTGCTGGGCTTAATCATTCAAACATGCACGACTTTGCCATCTGTGAGATCCTGCTAGATGATGTCCAGTAGATTCTACCAACAGATGTCTCCTCGCATAGCGCATCCACTTTATACGGCCTACCTAATCTACTTAACACTTCAAACTGAACCATGTTGTTGGCTCACCAGATTTGCAAGCGTTCCTTCTTTCTGTGGAAGAAGAAAGTCGTTTACGATCAAAGAGCCCACATGTCCAGAGAGTATGAGGGAACTCAAGTAATTACTGTTAACTTGAAGCCGCTTGCTGATCTGATGGTGAAAGTAGCTGACTGTGTGGGCTTAAAGCCTATGTGCGCCTCATTCTGCAACAGGCGGCCTTTTGTAGGTGGGAGACTGTGCCCTTGGCGCCCGAGGAGCTGCGGGTGACATCAGCGGACGGTGAAGACCTTGCGCTGGTTGGGTCGCTGGATGTCTGTGCGACCAGGGCGGTGGAAGGGCAGGTGCTCATAGGTAAGTCACGATTCACTGATCAGAAATTCACTTTCTAAAAGTGAATGTTAAAAGCCCCGCTACGCTGTAGCTTCAATTTTCAAGAGACCCGGAATACCTGAGCAGGCAGTAGTTGTCGCTAGCTTTCCTTGTAAGTTTTGCACAATGAGTGCGCGACTCTGCTGCAGCTTGTTCGTTTCCACTCATGAAAGAATCGACCATTGCCGTGTACTTTCTGCCTTGAAGCCTTCTGGATCTGGTCTTCTTCCACCGTGCTACTTAGGAAATTGTAGCTCTCATTCTGACCACACTGTGTATCTCTATTGGGTCATTCTTTTCGAGCTGTCTCGTGCAGACTCTCTCGAACGGCTCCTTGCAGGTGCGACTTTGAACGCTGCATACCTGAGTAACGTGTGCGTCTCGGAGGCTGCTCGTCGAAGAAGCGTGGGCCGCTCCTTACTGAACGAAGCGCGCAGACGGGCACACGAGTGGGGTGAGAGCTCGGACATGCTGGTTCGCATGCCCGTTACATGCTTGGTTGACGTCTCTCATTTGAAGCCTCCGGTAGCTTCCTTGGTGGATGCTTGTGTGATCCTGTCTTCACTGTTGTACAATCTCGCCCCTGACAGTGAGGATTTTGTCAATTGCAATCGAACGCGCCAAAAGTGTCAACAGGTTGAAAGCAACATCCACTCCCCACTCAAAGCTCATTGGTGGACTCCCTCTTGAAGTTTCTGATTTTGTTGGTTAGCGGTCCGGTAGCAGTTTGCTTCTTGCTCAATCAATTTATGAGAGTCAAGAACATTCGACTTCTGAAGAAGAGAAGATGAGCTTGCCTTTGATGACCTGCAGGGGTGGATGCGCTATATGTGCACACGATGGCTGTGAACGAAGTGGCGCAGCACTTCTATTGCAAGCACGGCTTTGTGCTCGAGCGGGAGGAAACCAGCAACGAAGCACACTACCGGTGAGCCATGGCTTGCATTTTTCAACTTTTGTGGAACAAGGAGGGGTTCCGGCTTGCTGTTCCTCTGGAGGCAAGGACCAAAAGGGCTGCTTACATCCCTATTTATGTTGTTCCGCGGGAGATTGCACTGGAGGGCCAAGTGTGACGCTAAGCTTGTCGGACTCTACCCCAGCTCTTTCAGGGCGACCTGTATTCTATCTATGTCCACCACTACTGTGCTTGAAGTGGGCGAAGCAGCAACCGTCGGTCAACACAAACCAGTTGACAGCCAGTACATCAAGCTCTCTCCCTCGTCACAAAAGCTTGGAAGCTGCCGCATTTCTCTACTAAATGCTCGTGTTGTAATTGCAGGGGTCACTGCCTTGACGGTATCGAGGGGAGGGGTCGGACAGTGCTGTTACGAGTTGATCGGTCCAGTAAGTGAAAGTGAGACTTACGCGTATAGGATAGTCGCGACCTTGAAAATGCCAGCGTAGGATTTGTCTAGAACTTTCAACTTGCAGGCACCTTAAGCGAGCGTAAATAATGTGGTCTAGACGCCTTCTTTGTAGTCCTCAGATCGAGCGAGATGTCGTTGCTATTCACTCTCATTCTAGCTGCAGGGGGCAGCAGGCTTTTCTAGAGTCCGGTTGCAGGCATAAAGCGCGAAATGGTCATGCAGGCCTCTCCGCATGATATTCCATGAGCCCTGGGCCGCTGGCATGTCGTGGTCGTGAGAGCCTCAGCCCGCTTAGGCCAGCGCTTATGCCCAATATTGATACCACTCTTTAACAGCATGACTTTGCGATATTGGCGGCATCAGCTTGTTATAGCGCATGCTTAGTCACCCATGCTTCCATAAGGGCCAGCCACTATGCAAAAGCTAGTGTTTACGCGTCTGTCCGATCAATACGTGTTGATCGTACCATGTCCATCAAAACTGTACAGGCGCATGTGTCAAAGGCCGCACTGAATGATACTGGTCTTAATCTGCAGTTGTCAACCTACTTGTCTCCGATCCAGAAAAGTTGTACATGATGAAATGCCGTGGCCGGTCATGCTGCAGAGAACGTAACTGTCACAAACACTGTCTTGACGGGGGTATCCATTTATGAAGCGGTCAGTGGTACTTGCATGGTAATAATTTCGTGGGCAAATGTGCTCTTCAACACACTTGCTTCGCCTGATCTGGCGGTAGTGGAAGTTCAGCCAGCAAAACCAAGTTCAGTTCAATGTACTACCAGGACCTATCATCGTACATCCAGTAGAGTCGATGGGAAAGCTTGCCCCCTTCAAGCATCAATCAGATTGTTAATAGCGGCCCCAACCGAGTTAGTTCTTCGAAGTTCCTGCAGGGAGAACCACGAGATGTTAGCCCGGACCTTCTTTTCACCAAAAGCCGTACTGAAAGGTGCGTTACTTGATTCCAGCTTAAGATGACGCATCACAGCGTAGATTCGGACACCGAAACTCAGCGGCCAGTAAAAGAACGCACAGACATATCTCAAGGCAAGGCGTACCCCTGAGGACGTAGGTACTATTCGCCGTATCCGATCCCAAAGTTACACGGCTATTCAGTCGGCATCTTTCTGCTTCTGCCCCTTGCTTCTTGGTTCGCATTTCTCAGAACGACTGCCTGGCATGGAGCCAAGCCAGCCCAGCAGCAGAAGCTGCAGGACACTCACCCGTAAGACGGCTTGTTCCGGTACGTCTGGAAGGACGCCCCTTACGGTCGCCACCATTTCCGCCAGCCTCGTGCTGACTTCCGGTTCCCCGTTGCCAGCCGCCCTTGTTCTCCGTGCTGTCGCGCTCTGCTCCCGAAGCAGTGCGGCTTCCCTGCTGACGTCGTTACGTCTCCCGCTCCGACTCTCCGAGGCAAAAGACGGGCCCGCTTGGCCGAAGTCCCAGTTGAACTCACCACTGCGACTTGCACCGCTTCTGACGGCGTTTGACGGCTGCGAGCGTCGATCTGTCCATCGATCTCGAGGCAGCGTCGAAGCACCGGGACCATGCAACTGAGAGTCCCCATCGTTCTGACTTAATGGCCACTGCCAGCGTCTTCGGGCCCCGGCTAAACCAATCCCGGCGAGCAGCCGCCCCACGTTCAGCCCCTCTCCAGCGTCCGACAACAACTGCCCCCCTGCGGTCCGATAGAGGTCCGGAGCCCCGTTGAGCGGGCTCGGCTCATCTCGGAAACCGGTTCCAGCAACTGAAGCCGGTCCTGCATCTTGCTGCGAACCCACCCCCCCGTATCCGCTCTCGTTGCTCAAATCGTCGGCACCCGCGTCCGGTCCCTCCATAATCTCCGCAGGTCTACCGTTCCCCTGGCCGGCTGCGCCTCCGACCGCCTGCCTTGCTGCAACCGAGGCTTGCCCGCCCGCCCTGCCCCTCAGTCGAGCCAACTCCTCCTGGTAGCGGTTGACGGCGCGCGCCTGGAAGAGAGCCTCTTGCTGGTGCCGCTCAACCAGCACGCTCTCTGCTGCCGCCCTGGCTGCTGAGCTGGAGGACTTGTACTTGCCGCTGAGCGACGTGCGGCAAGTGGGGCACGTGTAGCTGTCGTCCGACCCTTGGTCGAACCTGCAAGGAGGGAGGTAGAGACTTTGGGACAATCTGCGCCGTCCGTCTGCGAAGGAGCTGAGCGGGAATTGTGTGCATCGCAGAGTATCTTGTCTGGAGGGTCCTGACCCCGAAGAACAAGGTGGCTCTGATCTGCAACCTGGGACGAGAGGGAAAAAAACATGATGAGCACCCAAAGAAACAAGCTCGTGATGATCAAAGAGGAGCGAAAGCGCTCCGGACAACCGCTAGCTTCCTCCAGGGACCCTCCGCCGACAATCACTACCGTCCTTACCAGGAACGCAGGCACGACAGGTGGAAGAGGTGCCTGCAGGGCAGCTGCTTGGCAGTGTACATCGGCTCCTTGCAGATGGCACAGTCGTCATTGCACTCCGCCAGCTGCGCCTCCGTGGCATCAGGGAACGCCTCGCGGAGGTTGCGAGTGGCGGCTCGATATGCGAGAAATGCGCTGAGCTTTTTCATGAGGGAACTCAAGATGGCCTGGCAAGAAACAGCAAAATCTTGTTCGGTAGAGGAACAATAGAACACAAGAACTTGAGCTTTCCAAACTACGGTTTTGTAGAGAAAGTCTTCCCTCAGTATAGATACGTTGGCTCAAAAGTCAGTGGCAGTGGCACCATCGAGCAGGTAATGGCACACGGGCTTCAACCAAACAATCGACTGAACTCCAGCAAGAACCCCTTTCTCTGCTTCGAACTAACATGAGCCTTTGCAACGACCTCGTGCCCTGTAGCAACAGTGGAGGTTTGGACCATGAAAGTGCCGCCTTACCCGAATGTTCAGGAGCAGGACAGCATCGATCAACTGGAAAGCGATGCCGTGCAAGCACCAGACGTGGACGTAGTGCGCCAGAGTAAGGAGCTGCAACATGACTTCGGCAAGGAGGTTTGTGTGGTATAGAAAGCCAAGCCGCCACTCCGGGGTCTGCTTGGAGAAGATGGGGACATCCCACGACTCGCTCAGGTGCACCACGTACTGAGTCAGAGTCTGCATCACAAATACTTTTGTCTTAGAAAGTCCTTCTCCAAAAGTCCCCATGCCAAGTTCATATAGAGACAGGAGGTTTCCCATTCGATTTGCCAGTTGAAAAGAAGTCACATGATGAACGAAAGTTGACTGAGGCCACTTGCTCAAAAACAAGCGGAACTTTCGTGGTCTTGTCCTGTACCTGGATAGTGTCCAAAGCAATGATGACCGCTTCAAAGAGCAGGAGCAAGATGTTGCTGATGCCGGCTCCCTTGAAAACTGTGACACAGACCTGGACCCTGCAGGAACGATGCAGTATATCAGTGACCGAACTGGCGCTCCAGTATTGTGAACATCAACGCACGCACAATATCAAAGGTCCCACTAAAAATCCGTTACTGTTTCAACACGTCAAGTAGTCTTGTCAATATATAAAACAAACTGGTAAGCATTAATGTACTTTCTCTCTCGAAATTCTTGGACGTGGTTGCTCACCAAGCTGCGTCCGATACCAAGACAAGAATGAGAACCATAAGGGTCTTCCCGTGCATCCATTGTGAAGCTGCAGGGGTCTTGTGGAGCCGCTCAAACCTGTCCTTGGCCAACCCCGTGAACATCTGCATGAAGAAGCACAAAAGATGAAGGGCATCTCTGCGACTGAGACGATCAATGAGGATCTGTACTTTGAGCAAGTGCTACAGCTTCAATCTCAAAGAGACCAGAATGACGGATGCATCGCGCTTCTAGAAGGTTGATGTGTGACGTTGTTTTCTCACCTTCAAATATCCAAGAAGCGCAAACCAGGCCATCCACAAGGCAATCTCAGTGCTCTCAAACTCCACAACTGCTGTCAAGAAGAAAGTCTGCAAGGAACAATGGCATTGATTAAGGCTCAATCATCCAACGCTGGAAGCCCCAGCACAAATACTTCTGCAAACGCAGGCCCAAAGTGACCAATGCCATCGTTTTTGTCAAGCGACATGTCCTTTCCTGTTGCTCTGCTCCAGATGACTGTATGATGATGTGACACCAGAGTCTTGATTCTTTAGTGGCACTTGCTTGTCACAACCACCTTTTGGACCCTTTCCAGGATACTGACTTGAATGCTTGAATTGCATCATGCCAATTTCGATGCAAAATTGATGCTTGTCCACTGAGCTCAAAAGAATGCTCAAAAGGAACAGAGTCTCCAGCTCACCTTGAAAAGGATGTAATTGATGAGTCTCTCCGCCAGTTTCTGTGTTTCCATGTAGCTCAAACGTCCGAAGAATACCGACTGCAGATAGAAATAAAGTTTACTTGCAGGTTTTGCTCTGATGTTCCATACTTCGCGCCTTTGTCCTGGCTGCAGGGATAAAACTCTGGACCTTGGATCACTCCCTCCATCCCAGAAGTTGAAAAGGTAAAACTCAATGCTGAAGGTGAGGCACTTGATGGAATCCCCATTCTACATCATAGAGTGGTGGGCAACTGCAATGTCAAGAAGAAGTATGCGTACGACATAAAATCAATCAGATTATGCTTGTGTTCTCAGAGCTTGAACAAAGAAAGCTGCACACCGCTGCCAAGAGTGTACTAATGCGCCAGAAGAAAACTTTGAGCTGTCAAAATGCTGAAGACAGCTATAAGGTAAGGACGACCGCCTCACCTTAGTCAAAAGAGACACCAGCACAAAGACGTTCCATCCGAGATTTACCAAGACCAGGACAGTAGCTTTTGAGGAAAGCATCGCATGCAGAATTGCTGCTGTCTTGTCTGTCCCCGCAACTCCTGCTAGTGCTGGCATCTTATCTAGTGGCGTTGATGGCAGACCTTGCATTCTAGCGTCTGCCAGTACCACAAGCTGAGCATCATGGACCCGCCAAGCAATAGCACTGACACTCAAAACAGAGTACACGATGAGTATGGGCTTGTACGCCATCATGTTTCTCGATTGCGTCTCGCAGAAACATTCGACCAAGTCTCTGAAATGCTCGTGCTTCCCAAAAATCAGGATTGCATGGAAGGCATCCCTTTCTCTTCTTACGTATTAAAGGTCGCCAAAGGTTTTGGAGTGTTGGAGCTACGAGCGCCCCTGCCGAGCGTCACTGCCACGCATCAAGGATCTTCCGCCAGGACTGAGTTTCAGGACATGCAGAACTTTCTCCTCATTTCACTGTCAGCAGAGACAATCTTTACCTATTACAACTCAGCACACGTTGTCCATAGAATCGGTCCATATTCTACATATATGCGCGTTTATCGTCGAAATGCCGGATTGGATGCCGCGCGTGCGGGCAATTTTGCATTTTAGCGACAGAATTTAGTGACGGATCGTACCTCACGTCAAAATTCTGTCAAACAGAATCTACGGCCATTTTGAGAGGCCGTCGAAAACGTCTCCTTGGAAACCTTGGTTAAAAGCGACTGTCTCAGTTTACACTGCACACAGTGAGTCGCCGCATTGCGACACCCGGGATAACGAGGCAAAAGTAGAATCGGAAATTTGGTAATTTTACAGGACTTTGTTGGGTTGCATACTCGGGTTACCACTTGATGCAATTACTGTTCACCCAGTCGTCAATTCCGGTTGGAACAAATTGAGCTAACCGGTCATGCAGAAGTTAGCAGCAGAACCCTTCCAGAAGCTACCGGCCTACTTCGGCTTCCCGGTACCTAGCCTCGGTACTCCATTCCACGCTTCCGGCAACTTTGGTGCCCAGCGATCTGTAGACGAAGTTCAGTATCACCTCGTAGATTAGATACCTAACTATAAAGTTTAATGCCTAGGTATAAGGTACGTTCCCTATAAGTACTTTGTTCAACCGTAGAGGAATACTGTACATGTGAGGCCCCGGGCAACACTAAAAACCTAGGGTGATGTGACCGACAGACCCTAATGTTACTGGGAAGTGCCCGGTTTTGACCCGGCTGCTTGCGAGACCCTAATGTCAGAGGGAGGGCCTGCTTGTCACCCGGTTGCTTGCGAGACCCTAATGTCCCAGGGTAGGCCCGGCTGCTTCTCGGGTACGCACCGCGCAGCGCGGGGTACGACCCCGCAATCATTAATAAGTACAGTCCTCTTACACAGTACAGTACCTTATAGGTCACAATGCCTTTTAGGTTACTTTATTTATTTAGGTATGTAGACAGTGTTTCCCCTAACTTTTTAGATTGACGGCCGGAGGGCCACCCGGGTCCCTCTGTTGGTGGCCCAACGGGCCACCGGACCATGACCATTGATGGCCCAACCCCACCGCAAAATCAGGATTTCCGACTGCTTTCTTGAACGATCGACAATCACAAGATGAGAAAATACTATAGTGCATATGCCACATTTGTCGTAGTATTATACTCCACTTGTTTTGGACCCCGGGCTGAAGTTTGGTCGGATGCAGTGGCAAAACAGCCCGGCTCGAAGGGATTTTCCTTCAAATATAGTGCATACTAGCCATTTTGACAGGCTTTTTCGGAAAAATTGTCAGGATGTCAAGCTAATACGCCCTTTGACTTCCAAGGTAGGCCAGTTGGGTGCATTGATTGATGGCCCACCGGGCCACCTTGGCCCTCCGTATGGTGGCCCGTTGGGCCACCTCCACCCCCCCATTGGTGGCCCGTTTGGACCATTGATGGCGATTTTAGCAGGGAGTGGGCCACCAGGGGGAACACTGTATGTAGATAATAGTTACGCCATGTTCCTGCTTCCACCTACTGCAGACAACAATGTCGCTACGATGTACCGTAGGTCCGTAGTACCGTAGTACCGTAGTACCGTACCTACAGGGCGTTTTCGCAGTCTGCCAAGACTGGTTAAACTCTGGTTAACGTTTGGTTGAGGCGTCAACCAGAGCCTTAACCAACCTTTGGTCGAGAGGGTTTTTACCTAAGCCTGGTCGACGGTCAACCAAGGGGTTGGTTAACAGCTTGGTTAACCGTCGACCAGATTACGGTTAAGGGCCTGGTTAACGACTGACCAGGCTCTGGTTGAGATTAAACCAGACTTCGGTTAGCCACTAACCGGAGTCGGGCTGCCTGTCAACCAGAGCTCGGTTTACACTTGACCAGCGTTTGGTTGATAACTAACCAGACGGCGGGTTTACACGTGGCAGTTCGACACGAAAGAAACCGCCAACTTCTTTTGCACAGCGTGCTAGTCTACACGTCCAAGAGCCTCACCTGGTTCCTTGGACCGAGTTCTCGCCCGGCGCAAGCGCGAGCCCCGCACGCGCACGCTGTCTGAAAACCACTGCACTTGAAGGGCTTCACAAAGATCGGTTCTCACCATGAATGACCAACGAGCGGAGCCACCTCAAGTCCTTCCGGGCTTTGTCCTGAACGGTGCTTCGTCCACTGTACTCTAGGCTGATACCCTGCTGCGGCGGGCTCCGCGGGTTTCTGTTGAAGCCACCTCGTCCTGAACGGCCAAGCTCACCCGATCCAACTTCGCCGTAAGTCGTCAAATCGGCGCTGCCAACCCGACGTCAACGCAATGAATCAGATAATTATAAAGCAACGAGGAGAAGCAACTTACTGAATCACGCCGATTCTTGCAACCCGTTGACGAAGCTGCCAAATCCTTTCAGAGGTCGCCTGGTTGATGGCCGGCGCGAAGTGCCAAAGTTCACCGTCCCGGGACAAACTTTTACGACGGTTGAAAGGCACCGCGAAGCGGCTTCGCTGAATGGAAACGAAAGAATGCTTGAAGTTTCGAGGCACGGAGGCGCTGATGCCATCCAGTCTGACCCAAGGAATTTGATCTCCTTCCTTGTTCGAATTGCTTGTCGTGTTCCCCCCCACATGAAGTCGGATTGTATCCTTTTCAGGACTACTTTTAGCAGGAAAGCACGCAGACGCACGTATCCTGCTCTCGAGTAACTCGTCCCTTCTGGTTGCGGACTCCATTGCTCTTTTCTGTCAGGATCTGCCGGAGCTCCTCAAATAGTCGCTGGACCGATCAAGACTCTCCTCCTTGGCTCAATTTTTAAGTTCTCGCGCGTCCTCCGCTCACCACCTTCTTGGGTTTCCAACCATGGAATCCAGACCTCTCAGAGACCGGACATCTTCGAGTGCTGCTCCGCCTACGACATCAAGCTCCGCAAGACTTCCTTTTGGTCATCGCCTGGTCTGCGAAGTTCCTTTGTCTCGTGAAGATCCACACCGGAACTCCCCGTTGTCCTCTCCGTCCGAATCCTATTGCCTTTCGCAGAAGCTTCATCGACGGTATTGCGTCACAAAAACGACGGTCTTGTAGCAACGTATTAAGGTTGCAGACGGACGGACCGTACATGCAGTAGACCAAAGGTTTCACGTGACCCTTCGCCCTTTAGTCGGATTCGCCCCAATGCTTGTGAGAGAGCCCTCCATCGCGCCGCTGCATCATCCTGAAAGCAGCTGACTTCATGCTGCTTGACCCTGAATTCTAGTTTATGTTGTCTCTCCTCTCTGCTTCGTTCGAGGGCTGATTTCTTTTGCGCCTGCGGTTCTCCCTGATATCATTGGCTCCTTCCGCGGTCAGTCTTTCGATTGAACTTTCCAATCTTTTCATTGTTCAGGACCTTCGTTTATACTTTAGGACGAGCGTCCCAGTCTGGCTTGATCGCGGCATGTGTTTTCGTCGCTCGACCTCGAAGGAGTAATTCCATTGTCTGCAGCCTTCAATCTGAATCCAGGACTCGTTTTTGGCTCCCTCGCTTCTTTCATGTCCTTGCGGCCACTCGTCCCCACTTGTCCCCGCTTTGTGTTTCTGCTGCTTGTCCCCGCTTTCTGTTGCTGTCATTCTCCACCGCCTGCTCTTTTCGTCTCCGTTTCCGCTGACTTTGGTGCTTCGGCCAGTCGGTAAGTCGTTTTGCCGTTGTCCCTCGAGTCCAACCCTTTGATGTAATGTTCTTCGGTCCGGGGTCAGCTGGCGCTTTGCGAGCGAGCGCGCAACTCGCGTCCTGATCGTATCTCTACCCCCTGTCCTCCTCTTCCATCTTCCCTTCCGCTTGTTCTTTCCATTCCGTATGCATGTTTGCCTTTGAGTCACTGGTTAGCTGCAGCGCTTCGGGCGCGGGGATTAGCGTCCTAGTCGTATGTTCACTTCGTGCTCTTCCTCTTTCCATCTTTCCTTTTGCCCGTTTTCATTGCCGGTAGTATGCTTGATGCAGATTTCGGCTGGCGCGCCGTCCTTCAAAACCGCCCCTCCATCGTCGATTAGCTCCACTTCCTTCTACATACATCTCGTGGCCCGCTCTTTCTGGTCCCGATATTTCTGTGTCTCTTATGATTTGATCAAAGCCGTCATCTCCAGCCCCTTCTGCGTGTGTACACTCTGGCGTCTCCATCACCAGCCCCATCTACCGTCACTTTCAGCTCCGCTCCGCTCGTGCCGTGCTTCACCTGCCGGGATGTTCCGCTTGTCGAAGCTCTTTCAGATTCCTAGCATTCTGCCTGGGCCGCCCGGAATTCGTCCTTTTTCTTTGCCGTTAACCCGCCTTGTAACCCACGTTTCTGCCTGAGCATAGCTCAGAAAACAGGATAGGAACCTCCTTCGAGTCAATTGAGCTGATTTGCGAATGGACGTTTTCAAATCATCTGGAGTTGTGCGTTGACATTTCGGCAACAGGTCCTTCGGTCAGCCGCCGACCGTTCCAGTTAAGCTAAGAGCCGGTCTCCCTTTTAGTCTCTGCATTCGGTCTTGTTCGTCTGAGGGCATCAACCCGGACGTGTAGCGGGTATCCTCCTAAAGGGTGTATTGACACGTGCAATCCTGCCTCCTTCCACTTTCGTGTATGGTTGGATACTACAGGTGGCGTGTATTCGTTGGCCGCTACTTGGGTGATCCTTTTGGAAAGAATAGGTCGTGAAATTCATGTTGATCAGAAAAAGGAAGTCGGTGGTTGTCTTCTGCGCCACCCATTGCTGGCATGTCGCGAAGCGACGAAGCCTGTCCAGGATTGCTTTTGTCCATGGATGCATGTTGCTAATCGGTTCTCACAACCAATCTGCAAGGCTCCACTGAAATCGAGAGTCGGTTTTACTCCTTTCTTATTGCCAACTGCTAGTCCGGGTGTTCCTGTGACGAACTTTAGCGCTTATCTGGTGCCGACTTCTGAACCTTCCTTCCCAGGTTTACATCGGGCGGAAGCGTTGGTACTACCGTCAATCCCGCCAAAAAGATAATGTCTGCCGGTCGTATCCAGGTCCTTCTTATACCCAACATTATGTGGAACTTCTTTCGCCGATTATGCATCTGGTTCAGTTAATTTTCAGCAACTCAGCAACAGCACGCAGTTTGACTATTCCTCCGTGTGTTTACAAACGCCGTATTGTGAGCGCCCGCCTTGTTAAGGTCTGCCGGAGCTTTCGGCCGAGCGTTTCCTGCCTATCAATCGCAGTGATTATTTCCAGTCCTAGAATGAGCTCGCAAACCTTGCTGTTTGGCACGCTTCCCTCAAAGATAGCACCAATGATAGTAGTCTAAATAGGAAGCCTTATTCACTTTCGTGCACTTTCTTGTTCTTTGTCAATTCCTCTCTCGCTCTGTTGCGGTACTTGTTGACTGCACTTGTTGTCTGCACTGCCTGATCGGCTTGATACTACTTTTGCGGTTTTTCGGTGTTCCGGCCAAGTGGCTTTCTTTCTTCCCTGCCGCTATCCACGTTGGGACAATCCTACTCTTCTTCCTGCGACCATTCGCTCCGCTGCCGTCTGCGTTCCAGCTGCAGCCACACGCGCGGCCCGCGTCTTGGTCGATATCCATTCCATGCTCGCTTCCATCCTCCATTCCGCTCGCTTTGATTCCGGTCAAATGCAACCTTCGTCCGGCGCGCCACGCGAGTTCCTCCGACGTGGCGCTTTCCTTTCTTGAAAGCCGCAAAGTGGCTCGCTTGAATATGAACTTGCTCGTTGAGGTCTTCTGGCCAACACTCGCATCTGGCCACTTTTGCAGGATGATTCCCGAGACACGTTCCCTGTGGAATTGACCAGAGTTTTCTCCTTGCGCGGTGGTCCTTACGGCTTCAGATCTGTTTTGTTTTGCCAAATTGTCGCTTTTTTTTCGTAATTATTCATGAGCTAGCAAACCCCACTGTTCGCCGCGAGTCTCTTTGTCCCTCGGTCGACAGCCTCGTAATGATACGAGACACCTTTTTCTATCCCTCGCTCATCTCCGGCGTTTTACCAAGCTAGCACACTTTCCATTCTTCGTCCCGCTGCGGACATCCTTCATCGCCTGCTCTTTTCGCTTTTGCTTACGCTGGCTTGGACCGGTTCCTCTGGCCCGTTCACAAGAGTTCTTCTTTACTAACCTTGTCCCTTGTTATCCATCCTTTTTTCGAGTGCAAAGACTCGTTTTGCTGCCCTTCACAACTCTAGGCTAGCTGGGCTGCGACTCGCTTCTTGGTCGTTCCCCGACCCATGGCATTTTCCATCAGCTTTCAGCCCTTTTAGTTTGTTTTCGGACTCTTGAGCGAATGCATCGTTGTTACGGTGTGTGGTTGTCATTGGCGTCCCCTGCTGTATTGTCGCCGTGTTTGGACGGTAGAAAAGGAGCCTTGTCTGAGCTGGTTTGCGATCTAGCTAGTCTCAAAGAACAACCGCAGACAGTGCTTGATTGACCGGGCATGTCTATCGACACTTGGCAGAAGGTTCCTTTGGTCAGCTCTGCCCTGGATTGCTCCTGTCATGATCGCTCACTATTTGTCCTCTGATGTTGCTTCAGTCTTGTTTTCGACCGCAGCAACACGGGTTGCTAGGGCAGTATTCCGGTTATCCCACGTGGGCCCTGTTTGGTGCATGATTTTGTATATCTAAACCCTTGCACTTCCGCCGCCTTCGATTGCTGTTTACAAGTGACTCCTGTAGCAAGCGCGTCTCGTCTATGTGTATCTTGGATTGAGCAGGTTTCCGCTTTCCCAGTACTGGCGGTGAGTACTCGTGTTCGAAGTCGAGCAACTTGGCTGTGCCTGCTTGGTAAATGGCTTGATTACGTTGCGCTGAGTACCTTCGGTCACGTCACTCGTTCATGTCGTTGGATCACAATTTTGGGTGAATTGCGTGTACCTGGCTTTCTTTCCCCCAAGAGTGACTTCTGAGTCCGAAATGACCGGTACCTGAGCCGTCTGTTTGTAACGATCATGGGAATGACTCTTCTGCACAGACAATTAGTAGTCGCTGGTTTTCGCACCTACATGTGCTGCCGGCGTTTGCGGTGCCCTAAATGATTGATGTGTTAGTCTTCCACTGACATGCCGGTTGCTGCTACTGCTCCAGCGTTTTGCCGATTGATACGGCCGGTGTCCGTTCAGAAAGGTTTGAGTTTCCTACTCCATCGCCTGCGCCAGTTCTCAATCCTGGTGTTCAGGCTATGACGAAGCTCAGGTGCGGTTTGTGCGGGCTCATCCAAGTTTTGCTGTCGTCTACTTGGAAGGTGGTTGGACACACGGCATGTCGTCGCCGGCTCTGAGGGTCTTCTGTCTTACCTGTTGCTCTAAGTATCTGGTCAGTCGCAGAAACTCGTTACTCAGTCTTCAACCGGATGGTTGCCTGCGGCCTTGCAGCGAAACTGGTTCCTGCCTTGTCGTTTACGTGGTCGGGCTCTTCTTCTTCGTCTTCAAAGTTTTCTTTTGAAGACATTGGCAGCCCCTTTGACTCTGTCCCAGTCAAACGAGACCGGGAGTTTTTCGATTGAAGTGTTTGATATCCATCATGATTCGCCAAAATTTTGCGCTCAAAGGTGTACGAGTACAATGTTTCAAGCGTGTTTCGGTCGTTACGTTCCGATCCTGTTAGCTAGTGCCCAAGGGCGATCCTTCGTCCTTGACTTCTGCAAATCGTCTCTTGGTTTGACTAGGATTGACTTCCTTTTGTTATTGAAGACGTTTCTGTAATTGACCTTTTTTCAACGGCCTCGACGGCCTGAGAGTGTCTTTGAAAAGTAAGCTAGTTTCGCCCTGCCCATTGAACTTTCAAAGGCAATTGTTGCAGGAGACAGCTCATGATACTTCTAGATTTTTCTCAACCTTGCTTGATTTTAGGCCAAGGTCTATTCTGCACCACGCCAATAAAGCGCAGCCGCAAACTGGACCGGAAGACCAAATCTACGAGAGTCCTACAGCATGCCTGACGGCGGCCTGATCAATGCAGATTCCAGACCAAAATGTCCTGAAAAGAACCTGCCCATTCTAAAGAATTGACCGCCATTGGCCGGCGTTTGCTCCTTGCAGGTTAACAGTCATGACTGTTTCAGAGTACTGCTGTCGGTGTGGCCCCTTCTTCTTTCCATTTTTGTAGACAGGCGGAACTAGCCGTGTGCTAGAGCTGCAGGCAGTCTTTTCCGTGTGATCAAACTTGAGGCTCTCTGCTCAACGTTTTCCGTCATCCTTCGGTTTCAAAAAGTAGGCCTGATGTTAAACGTTCAGAATACGCTCTTTCGTGCAAGCAGGGGCTTCGAGATGGGCGTCCTCAGTTCGTGCGCAGTCTAGAAGACGCGGCTTTTTCACATCCGCCACCATCCAGGTTCAGTGACCAGGAACCGCTGGCTGATTAGCCTGTCATTCTCACCATGCGTCTTCTGCATTTCAACACTCTTCTTAAATTGGTTGCAGGTTGCTAGACCAGGGATTAAGGCTGCGTCCGCTGACGTTATCCAATAGCACAGACCTGGAGCTGATAAAGTGTTGTTGAGGTGAGATGAACGGTTGTTCTTGTAGTACTGCGTTTGATCTGGTCAGAGATTGATAGACGACTGAGGTAGAGCGGCGCCCACACTTACTAGACGGTTGACAGAGATTACGTGAGACTCGCGGGCTTTAGCGGCAGCTTCGAGTGAGTTGAGACAGGCTTTACTGCTTTGATACTGGTACAGTTGACAGAGGATCAAGATTGCAGCTCCTTGGACCGACAGCATCCGACATTGAAACATTCCTCTTGAGATCGATTGCAAATAGAGGTATTCCATTGGTGACCGGTACAATAGCCTCAACAGAGTTTTCACGCGGGACTCAATGTGTTTTCCATGCATAAGCCACGTTGTGCTCATGCGGACTCCGCAAGCATGGAACCTGTATAGAAACGGCGTTGAAACTGCATCATGTGTATTCTACACGGTTCTCATATAGAGGCCACATGAAGTGTTTCAACATGAGGCTTGCATAGAAGCAACGCCGCGTAATTTCAACGCGGGTCCGCCGTAAGAATGCCACGCGTAGAATCAATGTCGAACCTTCTGTATATCTTATGTAGATCCGCGGCAAGTTTCCAACATAGGCCATGCATGAGAACCACAAGCGTTGAAACAACATTGATTTCGTGTGATAGTCTTTGTACGATTCTACGCGCGTATATTCTACGTTGATTCCGCGTTGGATCCATGGGGGGGGGGATTTGTGATGTATGCAGCGTTCGTACGCAGATTTACCGGCTCGAACTTCGTACGTATGCATTCCATGTGGAATCTGGGGGGCCCGGGTCTTTTGTGATGCAATTACAGAGGCATGCTTGCAGAGCCATATAGCGAGCTATATCATCTGTGATGTCACTTTGAAGGCACAATAATCATGCGGCATGCCATCACTTGCATCATGGTTTCCACATGGACACCGTACGGGACTGCCTGGTATGCGAGCAAGTTGGTCAATTCGTATGGAAACCATATCGTGCTCATCTTGGAAAGCGAATAGAAACCACGCGACTATTGAAAACAAGGTTCTCATGTGGACTTATTGGCATGGTTTCCATACGGGCACCTTACACATGGACACCGTGCGGGTGGGTCCTCAACCACGCTCTGTCTCTCCACTTTGGATTCAATCCTTCTCAAGTTCTTGCTCACATGCGTCCGCCTGCCTTTTCTTCCGCTAACTCCTTCCCCTTTTCAGCCTGTGCCATCGACTCCCGCATCGTCCTTTCGACCTATTCGTCAAGCACTGTGCACAGCAGCGAGTCTGCTGTGCTCGACATGCCATACCGCTCAACTTCAGCTCAGCCTCAGAGTCGCTCGAACTGGACGCTTGGACGATCTGCACATGGATATGAAAGCAACGTCAGGAACCTCGTCTACGATTTCTATGGTGCTTTTGGACCGCTCAGCAGTAGTATCACATACCGATTGTGGCTCGCGGGTAACTATCCAGCTTGCAGTTCTCATCAAGCTCCTCATTGAAAGCAACAACTCTTGCCTGCGTAACTTCTTAGCAATAAAACGGTCTGCATCTCTTGCAAATGAAATGGTCTGCATCTCTTCCAGAGAAGAAGGAGCTGAAAGGCAAACGCTGCACATCCATCTACAAGCGATTGCACATAGAAATAAGCAACAAGCGTCCAGATTTGCAAAAGTAGATGTCAGAAAACTCCTAATTTTCGCCTCGACACACTGCAAGCTTAAGACTGGCCTGCTTACTACCCATTTCTGCAAGAGGTGCGTGTTCTCGAGATGGCCCGGTTGCTGCTGCTAGCATGTCCAGCCTCCCCTTCAACAGTGCGCTTTTCCGCATAAGGTATTGATCACGTACCTTAGCCCGGGTTCGCCTGTCACCTGCCTTCTTCTGCCTCCACTTCCTCGGCCTCCTTTAAGTCGTCCTCCTCTGCCTCGAGTTCTCCGTAATTTTTTGCCGCATCCAAAAACTTTCTCAGCTCCTTTGGAAGAAGTTCTGTCTTTCGCTTTCCATCAATCACAATTCGGACAGACGGCTCCACCATGTCATCCACCTCCTCTTTGCTCTTCCTCTTTCTATCCTCCTCCTCAGCAGAAGACTTCTTGGGAACAAATTCTCTCATCCGGGTTCTGAGAGGATATCCGATTAAAAGGCTGATAACCCCGTCCACCCCCCTCTCTGCGCGAAGCGCCTCGTGTGCTACTTCTCGCAACTCCTCCTTGTTTACCTTCCCCTCAAAAAGATACCTGGGGTCGACCGTTTGGATGGCCCTGGCTAGGCTGTCCAACTTCCACCGGAGCTTTAGCTGGCAGACCACAAGGTAGAGGGCACCCCCAACAACCACGAAAAAGAGAAGGTCTGGCCCGGCGCTCGTCTCAGGAAAGAACCAGACGATGCCACCGGGGTCTCGCAGCCACGCCAGCACGCCCCTGCCCTTGGTCGCTAGACGCACTGGGGCGTCTAACCCTGTCGGTTTAGCCACTGTGCTAAAGCTGTATTTGCCATCGGGAGCCAATTGGACTCGCGCCAAACTTGCACCCTCCCTCCGAAAGCACTCCGGCAGCTCGCTTTTGAGGTTGCTGAAGAGCGGCGCATCCGCTAGAGCCCCCTCCGTTTGAAAGAGCTGGGGAAGCTGGTCGGGAGCCACCACCTCGAACCACTGCCCCAGCATGGCTGGAAAGGGTTGGCTCTGCGCCATCAGAGTCAGCGCGTGTTCCTTGGCACTCCATTTGAGCTCCGTTTCCAAAAAGTTGAACAGTGCCCTGACCGCAAGGGGCTCCTCGATTGAGGCCACAATGCGGTGCTTCCCTGAGTGGTGCAGTTTCACAAAACCAAGATCCACCAGGTCGAACTCCTGGTGGTGCAGGAACAAACAGGGGCCCCCCAGCCTTGCGTGGGCAAAGGCAACCCGCTTCAGTAGGTCAAGCAGCTTCATTCCCTCTGCCCCTCGCTTCAACAAAGCACCAAGGCGGCCGTAGAGGAAGTGGCGTTCGTACACGTCCCTGCGCTCGTTCGCCAAGAAGAGTTCCCTTCCTTCCTTTGTTGTGTGCTGCCGGACTAACGATCTAAGACAAGTCAGAATGCTCTCCTGTCCGCTCTGCGCCCAGTCCAGCACAACCCTAGCTGCGAACCGTCTCCTCCCAACAAGGAAAAGCAGGTCGTGTTCTGGAATGTCCTGCGGACCCGCATAGTCCCCCAGATACTTGCGTGCGGATGCATCGTTGAAAGTTCCAAAGTCGACAACAGGGAACGGCTTGCTTCCCACTTTCATTAAGGCTGAAGCTACGAGCATGCTTTGTGACAATGACAACCCAGTGCCCGAAAGCACGACGTGGATGTTCTTGACGAGGACAGGATCGCTGGCGATAACAGCAAGGAAGGCTGACAGCAAGGGCCGCCCCTCTTGCTGCCCTTTGACGGCCCCATTCGAGAACATGCCAGGGAGCTCTTCTGCCCAGAGCTGAGCCTCGTCCAACACCAGAATCAGGAACTCGACCCCGTCAGCCATCAAGGTGCTCAGACAAGCCTCTAGTTCGGCGGTGACGAGCTCTTGGAGGTCCTTGAGTGACGCATGCCGCAGCACATTGTACGCCTCCGCAAAGGTGTCCTGCACAACGATGGTGATCCTCGTTAGTAAGCACAAAGCTAGTAAGCTGCACAAAGCAAGCAGAGGTGCACCCCTAGCCGCCCAAGGAAGATGGGTGCTTCTTCATTCTCCAGAAAAGCCACGTTTAAGCACCAATCTTGGCCAGTAGATGACAGAACGATACGAAACAGCTCAATGGAGCTCCTGGTGCAAACAAGGAAGACGGTATTGGAGGCAAGAACGAGACACTGCAAGAACTTAGCAGTCCGACTTGACGGATTGAGGCAAAATAGCGCGTGCATCCACTTCCAATCTTTGGAGTAGTACCATTGTAAGAAGCACCGCATGGACAACGCCCAAAACAAACGCACGCAGGGTCCTGCTGGGATCACAAGAGATGTTGGGGAGCAGGCAAAAGACTAACGAAACGTGCCTAGGAGTGGGAATAGACAACACATCATTACCTGCTGCCCCTGATAGACCACGAGCTGGTAGCGCAGCCACTGCTGGGGGTCACATCCTAAGGAGAGGCACTCGCTGAGGTGCTTCAGGCGCGAAAGCAGCATAGCGTACACGTGCTTTTGCACCCGCTCGTGGTTGCTCTCCCAGAACCTGGAGCCCTCCTTGCACGTGACCTTGAGGCGGCCCAGCATTTCCCACAAATCTCTCGAGCCGACCTCTTCTGGGCCGCAGCAGCTGAAGTAGAGGACACCTGGCCGCAGGCAGCCCATTTCTAGCGCAGTCCTTGTCTTCCCGTAGCCAGAGGCAGCCATAAAGCTTGTTACGGAAAGGTTCTGAAATGTGTGCCTCTCTTTCATCCCGTCGAGAAGCTCCGCAGCTTGCGTCCACGTCACATTGTTGAAGACAGGGCTTGGCAGACGGTCCACTAGGAAACTGGGCAATCCCCTTGCCAGGGGAATCTTGTTCTTGTTGATTGCTGCGGCATGCGGAAGCTCAGAGGGGCTCTGGAAGCAGGCAATCTGCGGCTCTATTTGCAGCTTTGCAAGTGCACCCCTAGCTCGGTTAATCAGAGCTTCGCATTGGCTTTGTACGACATACCAATCAGCATCTCTGCTCTTCTCCAAATGCGGGGCAGACGAGCTAGCTGGTTCCTGCACCGCATGAAAGGCGAGCTAAACTTTCGCGCAACGAGAAAACTCCTCCAAGCGTGAGTGTCCGCCAGTCGCATATCCGCACATATGAAGAAAAGGACATGCTCGAGGGAAGAAGAGGCACAGGAAGACCCCACGCAAGCAATCAAAAAGCTTGGACTGGTAGTTAAAAGACTCAAGCAAAGCATTAGAGAAGAGGCCCTTCCGGCTCCGGTGCAAGTGCGGCAAGACCAGGGTAGGCAGAAATCACATACCTTGAGGCCCGTATCTGAGACGTTTGCCAAGTTCTGCAACGCCAGGATGTCGCTCCGTGCATCTGCGCAAAGGCTACGTGCTCAGACTTGGTCACAAATGCATTGCCTGAGAGGAAAGCCGCTAGTGGGCAGGGTCACTACTAGGCAATGGCGGAACGCAATACAAATTAGGACTTGGAGATGCAGATGCTTGCTGGGTTGCTCAACCTATCCGTAGATTGTCCATCATGCACCAGATAGTAAGGCAGAGAGCAGAGAGTAGTTGTCCGACATTCGAGTTTATCAGCTCTCAAGCAGCAGAGGTGCCAGTGCTGGTTGGACCTCAGTTGCCAAGGAAACGGGCAAACCTAGCTTCACGATGTTGGTTTAAATATTCTCGACATAAGCGGCAGAACTCACAACTCTGGTTATTCTCATCAGCATCCCCCATATCCATGTCCTCAGGTTGGCCCGCCTCTCCATCCTGACCCTTCCTCACAGCAACTGCAGCAGAAGGATAAGCATATCAGGGTCTCGCTGCATAAGCTCTGAGGCAGCGAGCAAAGTGGATTCCAACGGTGGAGACCCCGACACTTTTGGAAGAGTGCAGAAGGGTAACAGCTAATGAAGATTCTAATGGGCAAAAAGTGTGCTTGCTCTGCCAACAACTGCAACTGCACATCAGTCCGCTTTCTGCTCTGCTTCTTCTGGGGAAACACCCCATGCCTAGCATGCACTATGGTCCACGGCAAGATTGACAAAGAAGCGACTATGTCACTCGGAAAGGAAGCCCACACAAAGTCACTATCAGCAGATTCGTTTCTCATGCCAGCTCCTCCAAGCTTTCCCGCCGCTGCAGGCTAAATAAACAGTACTACAATGCTTGAATCACTCATCTCCGCACTGACCACAACCTCTAACCATAATCTCCAAGCACTTGCCTTGTAGCTAGCCTTCTCATCTAGAAGAGAATACTGCTTACCAATAGCCTCCAGGGAGAGATCCCAGCCGATAAGCCATGCTGGGTGGTGGGCCTTCAACTCGGTCAGGCTCTCAAGTTGAGCTTCAGCGGGGAGCGCTCTCCAATCCGCCAATTGGACTTTCTGGTTGGCCAGGTACTCCAGCAGGGGTGGATGGAAAGTCGGATGAGCTTCCACCCAGCTCTCTGCATTCTCCATATCCACATCGGAACTGGTAGAAGCTGCATCGGACCAAGAAGCAGATCAGGCTATCGCGCGCATAAGCTCTTAAGGCAGCAAGCAAAGGCAGGATCCAACTGTGGAGACCCTCACCATTTGGAAGCGTGCAAAATAAAAAGCACCTGACAGATTCTTAATGCCCACAATGGTGCGTGTCTGCCATCAGCTGCACACCAATATGCTTTCTGCTCTCTGCTTCTTTTGGACACACCACATGCCTAGCATGCACCAGTGTGTCCGGCAAGATTGATAAAGAAGCGACTATATCGCATAGCAAGGAAGCCGACAAAATCTCAAAAATGAGCGGATTCCGTTTTCCATGCCATTTCCTCCAAGCTTTCCCGCCGCTATATGCTAAAGAACAGTACTACAGTGCTCGAATCCCTCATGTCCATATTGGCCACAACCTGTAAATTTAATCTCCAAGCACTTTGCCTCGTAGCTAGCCTACTCATCTAGAGGAGGAGCTGCTCACCGGCTGCCCTTCTAAGGAAGATGCTCCAGCCCACTGCCCATGGCTCTTTGTACTTCTCTTTCAGCCCGGTCAGAATGATAGAGCGCCTTTGAGCAGGCAGTGCTCTCCACTCTGCCAACTTGAACTGGTGAAGTGAGAGATACTCCAGCAGGGTGGGGTCGGCGTTTGGATAAGCTTCCCGCCAGACTCGTGCAATCTGTGGTAGGGAGACATTGGAGATCAGCACAACAATGTGTAGCCCGCTCTTTAGCAGCATGGACATTGACAAGGGACACAAAGTTGCTCCATGATGCCTGAATACAACCAGCGCTAACCAGTCCCCGCCCTAAATTGCAGGGACTCCTTGTCTAGGCTCACCTCATGTGGAGAAGGCCCCGGATTGGTTTCCACCCCACCCCTCATGAGAAGCGTCGCTGCACATGAGGACACCACATTCAGATGCTAAAGGTCTGACGCAGTTGGCTCATCCGGAACCGACGAGGAAGACCCCCGAACAAGTCAAGAGAAGGTCAAGGCCCAAGTGCTCCACAACCATTTGAATGTTCAGCCCGACTGCTCCACAAGTGATGCAGACACAGAGCCACAATCGAAGTGCCTTACCTATAAGCGACCGGCTCTTGGGCATGGAAACCCAGTCCGTCATACCTCCGGACTCCTGCCAAGCTGCAAAGGGTGGCGCGCTGGGTGCATCTGCCAAGAAGAACGCATCACGTATCAGTGCAGTGAAGAAGGACCCACCACGCACCAAAGGCATGAAAAGGAGCTCACTGTTCCCCGGCTTTAAACAAGAGCGAACAGATTAGACCAGCCCAACCGGCAGCGCACGCTCACCTTTCGGGGCCCCTCCAAGATCTTGCAGCTCCTGCTCGAGTCGCCTAGCTTTTGCTCTCAGGCGACGCAGTTCGTGGTCCGCTGCCCAGACTGCAGAAGCATACAGAGCGCGTCACTCTCGCCTTTCTACTCTAAAGACCCATTGCTGTGCGGCAGGGGAGCAGCTGAAATGTTGCAGGAAACCCAGACGCAACTTTAAGGCAGGCACCGCGAATGCTCTCACCAGCACGGTCTGGGTCGACTCGAAAGCAGCCACTGGAGGTTGCATGCGTTTCGCAAAAGTATTTGATACTACCGCCCTCCCTGCTTCCTCGAAGACCCCACGCTGCACCGGCGCCGCACCCGTGGCAGCTGAGGCTGTGTGGCCCTAAATGATCTGAAAAAGGGTCCCAAGAACGGAGTTAGAATCGCACCTTAAGTTGCGATGTGTAACTCAAGCAGGCAACTCTACCATGGAGGAGACCTGATGCTGAACACTGAAAAACCTTGCAGGTGATGGCAGCGTACCAAGGAAGGAGAGGTTCTAATCCAGAAACGAAGGGTGCATTTGGGTACACGAGAAGCTCTATCCTGGAATCCTCGAGACCAAAAGTAGGTACTGGCGTCTACCACATACAGTACAGTCTATGTTAGTCAAGATTGAACCAATCTTGGTACAAGAAGAAGCTCCCCCCCGCCTGAAATTTGCACTACGCAGGCGCTGCGACAAAGTACAACCCGACATACTGGCATCGCCTGGCCCGACTGATCAACTGCAGAAGAAAGTGAACAGCTAGCCCTTCTTACCTAGTTGGGAACCTAGCCCCTCCGTCGGCTGCTCGCGGTAGCTGCGCTGCGCACCCCGCTTCACTCCCGAGGTTCTGCGCTTGCGGCCCTGCAACCTACCCCGCACATTGCCCTCGTGCTTCAGCCCCTCCAGGTAGGCTTCAGCAGTTTCCGCAACCACATGGTTGAAGCCCTCGCGCAGAAACGACTCTGAAGCACTCAGGAGCCCCTCTAAGCCCCGCATGGCCACCTGCGAGGCCCCGTCCCGGGCGGCCTTTGTCCAGCTGTAGCCCGCTGACCCGCACGCTTTCCTAGCTAGCCCGCGCACAACTGCCACGCTCCTGCGGAAGAGGCGCTCCCCCTTGACAGTCCCCTGCTTGAACGTGCTCATGACCAGGCGTTGAATGTCTGGGAGGGGAAGAGCGGCGTCAAGGTCTGGGGGGCTCGAGGCAGCGGGTGTGTGCTCAGCCATTGGCAGTGCGCTTCTCAAGGGGGTCCTGCCTGGCTTCTGCATGAGAAGAAGCACCGTTGCTCAGATCGGATAGGCAACAGATGAAAGAGAGGAGATATCCCCCATACTTTGCAACTCATTCCAAGCTGCAGAAGCAACGGTGAAGCATTAAGTTACCGTCGCTATTGAGTCACGTGTCAGATGCAGACCCACAATGCATTAGGGTCATGACAGGGAACTTGCTGCCCCCAGATTGTGTATAAGAGAACAACCAATTGTGTCAGATCGCACCACACGCTCACCCTTTGATCAAACTTGGACCGGCCATGAGGCCGGCACCTTGTCATGATGAGAAAATTGAAGGACCAGCTTTCAATCCCCTGCGAGGTCAAGAGGAAAGTAAAGAGTAAATATTAGTTTCTGTCGATGAACATTCGCATGCTCCACTTCTAATGCATTCGCTCCTTCATTGCGTATGCAACTCCCGTGCGTAACTCCCGCGCGTACGCACTCATGAAGAGTCACAGAAACAACCCCTAAAACCACGTCCACCTCCTTCAAACAAGTCCCTCAGTTGCGTTCTTGAAGAGCTTCAGATATGGTGTATCATCCTGATGCCTCTAGAGGCTGCTCAAGACAGCAAGAGCAAATGGTTACGTGATAAGTATGAAAACAGCACGAATTTTGGCATAACTAGCGCAACAATTATGCTACTTTTGGAACTCTTAGAGAGTCTCGATTACGCTGCGCGCCTTTCGCTATGCCAAAAATCGATGCAAGGGCACCACAATGCCAGTGACTTACGTCCTTGAGTATCAGAAAAGAAGCGGCAGAGCCCATCTCTGCCTGACACATTGTACTACACTACGAGTGCTTCTTAAGGCAACCAAATAGCAACTTATCTAGTCCACGACGTTCTCAGAAGCGCTTCAGATACCTATGTGCCATCACAGCAGTCCACAAAATGCCAGTTCCTGAAACGGGCCAACCTGAAACGGGCCAACCTGAAAACCCTGGGCCTGAGCCACACCAATCTGCCCTGCAGCTCCCCGCTTTTAGGGCCGCCCGCTTTTACTATTAGCTCTGTCACTCCAACTTGAAACTGCTACATAATCGCTCCGAGTCCGGGTTGGATTTGTGTCAAGGACAACGTCCTCTGAAAACTGTGGTGGGGTTACAAGGACGCGTATGTCTCTCATGAGGTTCGAATATAGCCGATACGGCTCAAGATTTTAATTAGGATACGGCAGTCAGTAACCACGCAAAGATCCTGTACAGAACTATATATTATCTGATCGCAATGGGAGAAGATTCTCCTTAGAGCATATACATTCCCGCTGTTTCCACATATCCGATTGACCTAGTAATATATCTACTTGTTGAGAAGAGGACGGGATTCGTCATGGTGTTATTTACAGTCCGACCGTTTTACCGGTACGGATAGGGGTTGTGTCGATGGTTCACATCCTATGCTCCCACAATCCCCAAACTAGGCGTGCCGGGGGCTCTTGGGCCCCCGGATGCTTTGTAGTGTCAGCAGAGGCAAGCGCAGCACATGGCCACGTTT